AATGATGAATCTAAGATGACAGTAAAGTCGTGATTTTTTCTGAGCGCTGTATATCAAGTTTGTTACCTGTTCAAATCTGAAGCATCGGAAGATCATTACATCAAATTAATTGTTGTAACTCGTTTTTTAGGGCAAGATGCAGCACTGTAATTCCAACAGTGATTGGGATTGTTTGTTGTCACCTGGAGCTAAGGAAAAAATTAGTAACAATTTTTTCGATTGAATTTTGATTTGATTGATTGTGTTGTTCTGTAGAGAACGAATTTAAGCTGGTATCCAGTAAAAGCCGTAGAAGATGACATGATAATTCCGTGAATTTCAAGCCGATTTCTGAATTACAAGTTTACCTCGTTTTCGAATAAAAACGGGCTCAATATATATCTGACAAAATATAGAATCGCCTATGAGAACGCAAGAAGCTTGAAAAAGTCCAAGATTTTTGTGTGTTATGAAAATTAGATTATTCTACAAGTCCACTGGGTTGACGTCTTCATAGTGGAATATGTCACGCTATTTATTCTGTTGAAGGGCTTGAAGAGAGACTTGAGAAAACGTAAAAGCTCGTCATTCACTTGAATCCTGGAGGATTTGTGCTTTTGTTTCCGCGTTTTTCGTCGAGAAAATTTGTAATGTTCTCGTACTTTCCAACTTATGGAAAATGTTCCATTCATTCCTGAATTTTCGTGAATCGATTCCGCTGCATTACTTAAATAATAAGTCATTCGAGGTTTTGTGAATCTGTTCGGAAGGGTTGGTATTTTATGTTTTTATTTGTTGCATTCTGAGCCGTTCATAATTTTATTTTTATTTTTCAGTATGAGTGACTATCAGATTTAACCCAATGAAATCACGGAACATTAGCAAAGATAAAAATTTCTGATGGAAATCCTCCGAAACACACGAATAATTCCCATATTGTATTCAGAATGAGATTAATAAACAAATAAAAGAATCACACGGTATTGGTTGAGTGGTTCATCAACAACAATTGATGGATTGTCTTCGGAGGAATTGCGAGAACCTCTTCGCAGATCAAAGTACCGTGAAGCACCTGGGTTCAACAAGTCTCTGGTTCCCGATGACATCCGTTGATAAATTTTTCATGAAACTGGAATATAAACTCAGTGCCAAAAAGGAAGGAAGGTGTGTTCTGGAAAGAAATGGTTGTTGACTGAATAATGTTCCATTTTAGAACAGATGTCGATTATGGGCAAGGACTCATAACATGAATATCATCCTTATTACTCGTTTGAATATGATAGCAACTGTCCTATGTTTACAAGATAAATTTCACCTCTGGAGCCAATTCTTAATTTACCCTGTGGAAAAAGTTTCGAGACATTTTAATTCATTGATTTTTTTAGTTGATTGAGTCCGCGCGTTGAATCAATATTTTTCCATAAATCGTCGCTACTCCATGAAAATTATTTCTTTTGTTTTTTGTTTTTTAATTATCCTGAGGCATCAATTGAATGCACATGTGGAACAAAGATGTGACAAGTTCTTGCTGGTTAACTTCGGGGTTCACTGGGTCCGTGTCGAATCCGGTTTCCCTCCTTAATAAAACGAAAAAAAAATTTTTCTTTGTCGAGAAACAAAAGTTGAATGCGATGTAACTCATTACAGTTATTCCTTATTTTTTGAGTTTTTTTAGTCTCGACCTTACTGCCCGAAAAAGCTGCATATCTACTTCAACCATACGTGACTCGATTACATTACGATTCGGATACAGCTGAATCCTAGAGTCGAACATGGAAGTGAAACTAGTTTCTTTTTATTTTAATTTTTCTTAATAATTTTTTAATTAATCTTTTTAATTTTTTTTACGCGTCGAATCTGGGTTTTCTTGTAACAAAAATATTTTCTGGGCCACTCTCCTTTCTTTATAAATAGTCGCTCCTGTCGAACTCTCTGGATGGGCGAGATTGGTGGAGCATCCAGAATCCTAGGCGATGAAAACTAATGTCTGATGTTGATTTAAGTTTATTGATGAGCAAGAACGGTGGTTATTTTTCTACCCTGTGACCTGACACAATTGGAATAGTTTTATTTCATTTCGCATTAACACTTCCCAGATTTGTCTCCAATTAGCGAATAAATATTGAAAATATTGGGTTTTTGAACCAGGATGAAACCAGTTTGTGACTCTTGCTGCAGTGATTCTTTCGGCATAAAATTTTGGGGTAAGATCAGGTAATGATCAAATATACTTACGGTCAAGCAAAGAACGAGAAGTAGATTTTATAAATTATGTTGCATTTTATTTTCCTTTGAATATTCTCAGTGGACTCTGAAAAAAATAATTATCCAGTTTTCTTCTAAAAAATAATACGAAAGGAAAACAACAAAGAGTTTCTTAATATCCCAAAGGTTCAAGGGGTCGCCCAAAAACATGCTTTTTTTGCGTGCATATGGAATTTGGCTATTGATATTTTTCTGCGTATGATTCTTTGATTTGTTTATTAATCTCATTCTGAATAAAATATGTGAATTATTCGTGCGTTTCGGATGATTTCCATCGGAGATTTTTATCTTTGTTAATTTTCCGTGATTTCATTGGGTTAAATTAGTCACTCATAATGAAAAATAAAAAAATTATGAACGGCTCAGAATGCAACAAATAAAAACATAAAATACCAACCCTTCCGAACAGATGCACAAAACCTCGAATGAATTATTTTTTAAGTAATGCAGCGGAATCGATTCACGAAACTTCAGGAATGAATGTAACACTCTCCATAAATTGGAAAGAACAGTAAATATTTTCTCGACGAAACAAAAGCACAAATCCCCCAGGATTCAAGTCAATGACGAGCTTTTAAGTTTTCTCAAGTCTCTCTTCAAACCCTTTAACAGAATAAATAGCCTCTTTAGAAAGTTCAACACACATGATTTAATATTTGATAAAATGTTGAAATGAGATGAATGTCTATATAGCATGCCGTTTTAATGACGTTTGGTATCTACTCCTGAAACCCTGCGTTCTTTGTCAATTCAAATCAAACGTGATAAAAGCAACCTTTATTCAACGTTCAACCTTTGCTTCGCACGTATCCGTCATAATGAGGTTTCACAAATGCCATTCCCCCAGAAATTATGCCAATGAAAAGCCGAGTCTTCTTGTAAATGTCATCGAAAGAGAAACGGCACGCCAAATGAAATAAAATAAAAAAAAAGCTCCGTGCTCGTTCAAAATGCGCCGCGGTCAAAAAGACGTGTTTCGGGGCTGAAGGTCAAGTTCTGCCTGCGGATTTTATTTTTATTTCTTCAACTTCCCGAAAATATGCATCATCGTGAATTGTGGAGGAAGTTGCGTGAATGAAACCCATTCTGAACGACTGAGTCGAGTCGTTTGTTCGATAATATTAAATGATCCATATTCTAGTAGCGGTTCTTGGGGGGAAAAGGGCACTGAAAGTTGGTGGGGTCACATCGAATGAATCCGAAATTTCTCGGAAGTCGGGGGTTTTCTTTTTTTCAAATTTATTTCTGGTGCCATGGAAAGAACCCTTCATTTTTTTTATTAAATGACAAATAAAATGTTTCACAAGGAGAACGATGTCCATTCCCTCGTCATCTTTCAATAAAATTTCCTGTGATGCCCGAGCATTTGCCAGTCTCTCACACCGCTTTTAAAATTTCAACTCGCTATTTTTTTGGTGTCCTCTTCTCCTCATATGCAGAGAAAGTAAGAGAATTATTTTGGCCGTATGTGTGTGCTCGGAGTTCTACCAAACGATCTGCGATCTAATCTTGAAACTGAAGAGCTTTTCCCCGGAAATATGACGAGGCTTCTGCAATTTACAGCGGGATTTCTGGATTAGATCCAAAAACTATAGCGCAAAGACATCGATTGAATTTTGTTATACAGTATATTTATTTTCATATACTTACCGATTGATTTTTTGATGAAAATTTTATTTTGGAAAGTTGATCGCGTCAACATGAGGACACTGACTCAACATAGGGACATTTTGTTATAAAATTGCAAATACATTTCAGGCCACATTATAAGAAAAAGATATTTCCAACCCTAAAATTGATGTAAGAAAAGTTCTTGGGCATTTCTCTCACCAATTTACCATCCATTTAGCTCATTTAAAAAAATTACCTCGAGCAGAGAGGGATGACGTCCTTCTCTCTTTTTCACTTGAATATTATTTTTACAGCCAACATTTCTATGTACTGTCCAGAGGTATCAGTATTAAATTCCCCAAATGCCCGTATTGCGTTGAAATATATTGATTGGAATCAGTTTAAATTGGGAGACAGTTTTTGTTTTCATGGAATTATGTTGAGTATTTTGTACATAAAATACCAATTAAAATAATATAATGGAAGTCTAAGGGAAAATGAGACTCAACTTAGGGACACTCTTGATCCACCAATTACGTCCACATCTTGGGGTCTCACTGTATATATATATATATATATTTTTTGTCTTTATATATACTTTATATTTTTAAACTCTGGATCATCTGGAATCTAGAAAATTAGGCAAAAATTCCATAATATTTTCAAAGATTTAGTGGAGACTACAAAGTATTATATCACATTGTTCTTATTTGGGCTTCATCTGAAGTATGTCGACAGTATCAAGATTACTTTTTAAATACTGTATAAATTTGAAAACAGTGATTGCGATCTACGTTGAAAGTCTTTCCGGAAAGATGTCGTTGGTTGATGAATCATATGTGCTTTGAACTTTTGTTTAGCAGCTTTTTTGTTAAAAACTTGAGAAAAAAAGTTGATGATCGACTTGAACCCAAGGGTATTTTCCCAGAGAAAAATTTTAAATTTTCAAACAAAAAGAATAATTTCGTTGCATTGCTTCGCGTCATTTTGAGTTGTGTGCGTGTGTCCAGGAGGGGTTGATAAATTTTATTCAGCTTTTCTCCTTTTCCGTGTTGTGATGATGATGCTTGAGATTATGAAAGGAATACCTGTTCATGCTGATGATCATTTTGTTCCATTTCCTCTTCTTTTATTGCTTTACACTAGGATGGACCAAAGCTGCCGACATTGACGGAAGCAGGCATCAACAAGATTAAAATCTGCTTCCCAGGAAACACCGGGTTACTCACGAGCGCATTCCACCCTCTCTACCCAGTACAAGGTACTATAATAACCATTTGTTCTTTTTTATAACTACAGTATAGACTTCAGTTGGTTTATTGGGCTAATTGTCATACTGAAATCTAAAATTTTTTTTTGGGAAGGCAAGAATTATTGTCAATTGTATCCTGATATTTTTCTTATCTCAATCGTTTTTCTGGAACTTCTTCCCCAAACTTTGGGTTTCCCTGCCCGAGAAAGATAATGGGGGGTTATCTCCAGACAAAACCGATTTCTGCGAATAATACTGTAAGGTAAAAGAGTGTTTTAAATCTTCTCGACGTTTCACCGCCGAGCAAACATTTTCATCATGCATTTTCATGGCAATCTTAGCATCCAAAACCTTTTTTCATCCTGTTTTTCGTCTAAATTTATATTCGTATTTGATTGAGCTGTGAACTTTGAGGGGAAAAGTTAAAGAAATGTAACAAATAAAATCTTCTACGAATTCTAAAATTCTACTATAGCAAATTTTTTGTTTGAGTGCCCGACGTATTGAGAAATTTCTAACTTTCAGTATTTAAAAATTCGGAAATCCTTTTCATGAATATAATGTAGCGCCTTAATTTTTTCTGTTGTCCTTAAGATTTCAAATGATCATCGCGGTACACTTTTTAAAAAATATTGGTACAGTAATATCATTTTATCTTGATTTTGTTGGTGCTGATCGGGAAGCTTCAGTAATTAAAAATAATTGTAGATCACATTCAACAGGGATGTTCTTAATTTGACGTCAGCGAAATCTTTTGAAGAATAATAAGTTCTTCCGAAAACACAACTTTTTTTCAAGAAAATAAGAAGAGCCGTTCTCATAATTTTTAGTCTTTGTCTTGCTGCAAAGATTGTCACATTCGAATATGTTTTCCCTACTTTTAAAATTATTCGAAAATGTGTTCCGAAAAAAAAACTCTCTCTCTCTCTATATATATATATATATTCTGTAGTTTTTACAATTACAAGGTACGCAACGTGAAATGAAATGTACAGTATCAAATATTGCCAGCGAATAGCCTTGAAAATTTTGGCGTAAAGTTTTTCAACTAATCTCTAGCATTTCTGCTCACAGAAATACTCACGAGACCGAAAAGTAATCCGTTAAATAGAGAATTTTGTTGTACAGCAGAAGCTCTCTGACTTCCGAACCAATTTATAAGTGCTCGTTGCCTGTGTGCAGAACATTGTTGTCGATTAAAAAAAAAAAAGAAATCATTTTAGAGTTTGTCTGCGTTCGTGGTATTTCAATTTTAATAACGGTAATTAAGTTGAAGCCCGTTCAACAAAAGGCCATTTTTTTCTGCCCATAATGAGCCCTTATCAAATCGCCGAGAAATGATGAGTTTTTACCATATATAAAGTAAGTGGTAGTCATTCTACTATTTCAGCTTGTTCTTCCGCAAAAGTTCAAAAGTATACGGGAAAACTTAACAACAAAGGCGGTCTGCTTAGGCCCCGCATACAACGTAGGCACGCGGTGCACTTCGTGGGCTGTGCAATGGACCAATCCGGGCCGTTGTACACCAGCATGTATCCGCCTGGACCAATCACAGACGCCCAGGTTTGATTCACTTTTCCGCCATATCCCCCTCGCTTCTTGTCAAAATCGTCCCTTTTTCACGTGACTCCTATTTGTTTCCTGCCGTCAAATGGGGAGGTTTTTGTGCGGGGGGAGCTTTTAGTCACTGTACACAGGATATTCTGTACAGGCACGAATGCTCTTTTTCTCGGCCGGGAAATCTTATCTTCTGCGAACAACGATCAGTCGTGAATCGTAATCCATCTCTACTTGATGCTCATTTGTTTGATTCTTCAACCATGTTAACCGAGTAACAAACCTAGCGTGTGAATATGAGCTAACATCATGCATAACTAATCGAAAGCATGTACCGAACTAAGTAAAGACCCGACTTCGTGCAAAAATGCAGCTTCACTCCGCATTGGAAGATGTATTAAGTACAATACGGTAAATCATAAAATATTACGACTCACGTTTTCTTAATCTTAATCACTTATATTTTTAAAAAAAGCCCAATTTTAATCTCTACTTTATGACCCGTTCATCTTGATGTTAAATTCATCAGTTTTACAGCATATCGGATGATTTTTCTTACACTGTAGATGTATACATATATATTCGTCAAATAACATTAATTACTGGAATACAAAATGAAAATATACCTCAATAAGTGAACGGACACGCCTAAATATAAATATGTCCGTTTACTTATTGAAGCGGACATATTTATATTTAAACGGACATATTTATATTTAAACGGACATATTTATATTTAAACGGACATATTTATATTTAAACGGACATATTTATATTTAAACGGACATATTTATATTTAAACGGACATATTTATATTTAAACGGACGTATTTATATTTAAAAGGACATATTTATATTTAAACGGACAATGAAATTTAAACGGATTATAAGTAAATGGACATACTGTATTTATATTTAGGCTTGTCCGTTTACTTATAGAGGCATATTTTCATTTTTTTTTATTACAGTAATCTGTATGTGTGTGATGGCGTTACGAGGATTTTCGTTTCATCAATTGTCTTTTTTGTTGCTGATGGAAATTTCGCAGGTTGCTCATGCGCGGCTGAGCAAAACGAACCCGGGCCGGCCGTTGAACAGGACGCAGTCGGCGCCGTTGCCGTTGAAGCACCCGGGGTTGCAGGGAGCCCAGGCAGCACCGCCGGGTTTCCCTTACCCGAACCTCCCACCGGGTTTCCCCGCCCACTTGGCCCACTCGGCGTTTCAGCAATACGATCAACAGGCCTACGTGAGGGACCCGCGTCACCCCATGCATGTCGACCCGCACAACCTCATGAAGCAGGTACGGTAACTAAAAAAAATCACTGCACTGGCCAGTACTTAATTACAGTATATGCAACACGAGAAACTCCTGGTTGAGATACCAAAATAGTTGGATAAAAAACACCTGTACCTGTGTACTTTTGATCCACTTCTGCTGTAAGCATCTTGAAAACGTGGATATTTAATTCAAAAAATGTGTTGTTGGTGTGAAAAGAATTGTTGGATAGAAAAGAATGGAGCGCCTTATTTGCGAGTGACAATGGCACGTTCAAATTGGATCTTTGTATGCAAGTCGATCATATAAACGAAACACAAGCAGTAAATGTGGTAGTTTTTTTTTTATCCTTTCTAGAATTATTAGTTTCAAGTATCAATATTCGGTGGCGTCATATTTGATAGGTGTATTGAACAAAACAAGTAAAATAAAATAAGTAATAAGTAAAATAAGTAAGTAAACAACCGAGTAAAATAAAATTTGAAATTTTAAGTTGAGTAATCCTCTCGACTATTTTGGATAAAATGCTCAAGATTTCGATAGTGTCTTTGTACCAAGTACGTGCTTGATGGTATCTTGTATTTGTTGTCATCTTAGATATGCGAATGAAGTGCATTGACCGAGACACTCTCCTGGATGAAAACAAATTTTGAAATCAAATTTAATTAATCGTCACGACAATTTTCGGATTAAATGCTCAAGATTTATAAGCCTGTTTTTAATTGTGGGGTCATTCAAGCATGAGTAGATTCAACGGCCTTCTGGAATTCTTTGAGGAAATGATTGTAACGGAAGTGCATCTAATTTTTTTGCGCGCAAAATTTTTTTATAGGCCCACAAAATTAAGATCCGTGTTTCATAATTGATACAAAAATGCCAAAATAGTAAAAAATAATACGCTTGGTTCGATACGAATTTTCATTTGGAAACTAGATTTTTTTTAGAAGCAACGTGTTTTTTTTTTAAACAATCAAATGCATTATTCTTATTGAGGTTGATTGAATTTATTTTATATTATGGATTTTGAACACGATTTCCCGCTTTTCTTAAATTATATTATGCTTGAAATATTCTTAATGGGATTCACTCCGATCAGTCAGGGCGTCAGTCAGTTCTTGAACAACTTCTGCATCAGAAGTTAGTTCGAAGTTCGGCGTGGATTTTTTTTTTCTCTTTTTCGAATCTGTTGCGTAATAAGCTTGGTACATTCTAGCAGCTTATTCCATCATTTCTTCGTGGAAATTTTTCATCGAGAGAGGAAAAGAACCGCAATGTGTCGAGTCTTCATCGAGGCAATCATTAATATTTTATATTTTTCACAGCAATTGCGTGCAACGGTTCTGACTCGTGCCGGAAGCAAGAATCACGTGGAGAATGTGGAAGAGGAAACTGAGGCAGCCGTTGCCCAGGAAATGGGGGCATCAGCATCTGAACCAGAGGTACGTGTATTTTTTGCTTTGACACTTTCCAGGATTTAAGATTGAGTTATAAATTAAAATTCATCAACATCCCGTTGATTGATTGCGGATCACCGGTGAAAGTACAGTACACAAATAAAATCTCTTATCTTTGAAATATTTCTCTGAAAAAAAACGTGGTCCGCAGATGTTTTTTTTTTACGTGAAGAAAAAACTCGTCAGACATGATATTTAAAAAGCATGATTTTAGGTCAATTTAGGTTAGGTTGCTCCGAAGCCGTTATTATTATTTTTTTTTTACTGTGACATTAGTTTATCAGAATCATGCATTCCCGAGTTTTTTGGGATTCGATCTCAAATTCGGTACATTCTTCGAGTCGAAAACTGCGCAAATTTTCGTACAAGATGCGTACAAGACTTCCATAAATTTAAGAATGGAAAATGACCTGAGAAATGGCTCTTCTAAAGTACAGTACAGTACTTGTATTTGTTTGTCCAAAATTTTCAGCTTTGCATTATTTTCAATCCGGTAGATTTTTTTATTTATTCGGATTTTTATTCCATGGTTTGTCATCCTTTTGAATTTTCGTGCGATTTATTTAGCTGAACAGAACAATGCCTCATAGTTGGGATAGAAAGCAGGAATTCCTGCGCGCATTTGTTGTCCCATTAGTTGAAAATTGGTGGAATTGAAAGCATGGATTTTTCTCTAAGGTGAATATTGTATTATGACTCATTTTGTCAATCTTTGAAATTTCCTCGCGATTTATGTGACTATACATAAACCTTTTTAATAGCTGCGATGGAAAATAAAATTGATGTCACACAGTTCAGGCGCGCGTTTTGTGTTTTCGCTGATTGAAAAATTGATTTCCTTGAAGATAGTACAGTATTAAAAATTGGCGGAACTGAAAGCATGGATTTTTCCGCGAGCATCATAAATAAAATTTTGAATACTCTCTCAAAAAAAATTTTCTTTTTTTTATCTTCAATCCTCTCAACATTAGGTAATTGATCTCACTGGCGGTAGGAGCAGAGCTGCGTCTTACCGCGAGTCCTGCGGACGTAGCGAATCTTCGTCGCGCGAATCTGATGGCAGTGATGAGCAGCAACAGCAGCAGCAGCAGCGACTGACCAGCGCCAAGTCGGATCTCGAGCGCCAATTATTGGCACGACGCGCGGCGGCTGCTGCGGCCGCCGCCGCCGCCGTCCACCAACACCAGCAACAACAACAGCAGCAGCACCTCCACCACCACCAACACCAACTCCACCACCAGCAGGCGGCCCACGTGCACAATGTTTCTGATCTCAGCTCGGGCTCTCCTTATGCCGCTGGTGGACCCCCGGAAGGTACTGTACATAGATTAAATTTATACGTAATTAAAAAAAGGATTAAACAGGGTTTCAAAAGGCTGAGCAGGAAGAATTATGTTATTTTTGAAACGATTTTCAACCCTGTTTAGCATTTTACAGGTCTGCTGGAATTTAAAAAAAAAGAATAAATGCCGAACAGTAAGAACTAAAAATTTTTGAAACGATTTTTAACCCTGTTCAACATTTTGCAGCTCTCCTGAAATTAAAAAAGGAATAAACAGGATTTTAAAAATGCCAAACTGTAAGAAGTATACATTTTTGAAACGATTTTTAACCCTGTTTAACATTTTGCAGCTCTCCTGAAATTAAAAAAGGAATAAACAGGATTTTAAAAATGCCGAACAGTAAGAACTATACATTTTTGAAACGATTTTTAACCCTGTTTATTATTTTACAGCTCTCCTGGAATTTAAAAAAGGAATAAACAGGATTTTTAAAATGCCGAACAGTAAGAACTATGCATTTTTTAAACGATTTTTAACCCTGTTTAGCATTTTACAGCCCGTCCTGGAATCTAAAAAAAAATAATAAACAGGGTTTTAAAATGCCGAACAGTAAGAACTATACATTTTTGAAACGATTTTTAACCCTGTTTAGCGTTTTACAGCTCTCTTGGAAAGGAAAGAAACCGAGTTGTTATACATGTTGAACAAGAGGGTTTTTTTGCATTTTACAATTCTCCTGAATAAAAATGGAGCTGAGTCGTAAAATTCTAACCAGAAAGAATCAGAAAATGTTGAACGTATTTGTACTGTATAACCCTTTTCAGCATTTTAAAACTCGGTTTCTTCCGGTTTCGTGTCATGAAAAAACTGAGCCCCGAGGATCAAAAGTAAGATTCAAAACAAAAGCACAAACTTGTTCCTGGACAGTTTCTGCTTCACCAAAATCTACTTCAACTGAATACAACTACAATACCGTATTTTATCATCAAATCTATCGCTCAAACCAAACAGGAGGCGGAACATTTAAAAAAAAGCGTCAAATTTTGTTGAATCTCAGGGGACCTTTTGAAGAAAGCAGTTTTCTTTTGTTTTACTGCGCATTTTCGTAATTTATAGCTTTCGTAAAATGCTCGGTGTACAAGATTTTCTATTTAAAATTTTTTGAAAATAAGAATTAAGAAGATCAAGATTTAAGAATTTTTTTCAATTAAAAACTCGGCATATTTGTGCACAGAGAGTAAATTGTACAAGTTCGTGATTAAAGACTTAATGTGTGAAAATCCTGTTGAAATAGAATCAAGATTTTTTCAAATCGCTACATATAATTTTTTTTATACTGTACAGTACATAGAGGTTTTTTTTGCCGAGTACGTGAACAGAGATTAAATCTGCGAAAATCCACTTCGAAAACAGTATTGTCGAAGATGTTTTTCCGTTATTTGCAATATATGCTGTATCTGTTGCATCACAATACTGTATGCAGTAAAATATTGTTTTTAAAGAATAATCGATTACAACGAAGTTGTTCTGAAGTCCATGTCCAAAACCCACAATGTTAATTGGGTTATTCTATATCGATTTTTTTTTTTACTGCAGAGCTATTTTCTTGGTACCAATGGCTTCGCTTTAACGAAATTTCACTGTGGACAGTATCCAATTTTTTTTTTCATTTTCGAAAAATGTTGAGTACTGTATCTCGGTTTTAGAGTGTTATTTTCTCTTTTATTTTTTTCCTTGAAATCGCTCAGTTCCGATATTCTTGTTCGTTTTCGGGGGGGTTTCAATCGTCTTTCAATCTCCGTATCCCTCGAAGGGTTCGTTGGAGCAGCAGCAGGGGCGCCGCTGTCGGCACTGCGGAGCCACCACGTGATCCGGCCGCTGTCGCGTGCCTTGTCTAGTCCCCTGGTGATGGTGGGCGGCGCGGGCGCGGACCCGCGGGCCACACTCAGCGGCAGCAGCAGCCCCGTGCTCCGCTCCCGGGCCGGGCTCCCGCACGTCACGGCGCTCGCCTACGACTCGCTCATGCTCAAGCAGGTCACGTCGACGCCGCTGTTGAGGAGCGTGGGCCTCGTGTCGCCGGCGGAGGTCTCGTAGACCCGAGCAGACGTCCATGACATGACAGCTCACGTCTAGACAACACATTTACATGACATGACATGAGTAATGTACTGTGATTTGAGCTCTCTTTTATGTATGTTATCCTATGTTATCCATTATCCTCGTTGTTGTTGCTCCGAAAGCAAAAGTAGTCGAGATAAACGCCCCCTAAATATATATACAGGCCTGTTTTCAGACATTAACTTATTATTACAGGATGAAAATGTGCCGTGGCTATACGAGTATACTGTATTTACTCAAGTACCATGCGCCCTTGATTAAGGCGCGCACAGGGGTTTCTCAGTTGGCAATTTGGCTAAAATTTTATGCCCAAGTAAGACGCACACCCGAATTTTTAGTGAATCTAAAACCACAAAATTTTGAAAATAAATTCAAAAAATTTGACTTTAGACATGAATTGAAGAAAAATTGGATCAATTTTCAACTTTTTCAGTACAAACAAGTTTTCTTGTTACATTTGTTCCCAATTTCTCCATTATAATTAAGTATAATGCACACATAACTTCCACACATGTATCATCTACGTTTGGTTAAATCTCTTGAGAATATTTCTCATGTTTCATTTTGATTCTTCAGAGAGACATTTCCTGACAAATATTTCGGGAAGTTGATGCGTGATGAGTTCTTGAAAATTTTGTACCATTATGACGCGCTCCCCTTTTTTTTCTTCTTAAATTTGAGAAAAAAAGTGCGCGTGGTACTCGACTAAATACAGAAATACGAGGGGTCTAACAAAAGTTCTCAGAGTGGAAATTGAAACAGAATGCGATAGAGCTGAAAAAAATTCTTGTTCAGAAAAAAGAACGTTTTTTTGGTACAAGAAAAGAAAAGAAACCAGGACTCGCAGATTGACATTCAATTTTGGTGTCTTTTTCAAAAATTTTCCACAAAATGTGTCAAACAAGGCGAAAAACAAAACCCCAGACCTTTTTGAAATTGAGGTTTATAATGACTTTTGCAAACAGTTTTCGAAAAATGTGTCGGACAGTGGTACATTTTTTTTTTTTTGGACAATAATTGCTTTTTAGTTCAATTGTGTGCTGTTTCAACTTGAATTCCGAAAACTTTTTTTATATTCTTATAATATACCGTACCCTGAAATCGTCTAAAAAATATTTGAGGTTGACCTTTTCATGTTCAAGGAAAGTATTGATTTTCAGAAACGTTTCTTAAAGCCCAGCTTTCTGGATTTCTGAAGACATTCCGCTATTCCTGCTTAATTTTTCTAATAAAATTTTTGTTTAGTGGACTTCGATATTATTATAACTTGGGCAGTTATTCAGAAAATTTCTGCTGGTCTGCAAAATGTTTCTGGAAATTTTCTGGTCCAATGGCCCAAAAAATTGGCATGTCTGTGATTTCAAAATCGTAAAAAGAAAAACGAACAGAAGAATTAAAATTTTACCTGTGTCGATTTTAAGCGCGTTCAACCTGTTTCAACCAGCTTTTAACCTGTTTAAACGAAGCATTGTGTCTTTCTGTACAGGAAACTGGTCTGGTGAGCAGATGCGAGAGGATACAACCAAGAAAGGCAACTTTGGAAGAGATACAAATTTGCCACGCGGAGTCCCACACGCTTTTATTCGGTAATAAGTTAGTCTTGTCTTATACCAGAAATAAATTGGGGACATTTTTTGCCTCATATTTTGTCTGCACGTGTGTGTGTATTATTATTATTATTATTATTATTATTATTATTATTATTATAGGAGCTAGCCCCATGAATCATCACAATATCGACTGGAACCGACGAGTTGTTGCTTTACCTTGTGGGGGACTCGGAGTAGATTCAGACACAACTTGGGATCGATTGCACACTGCGTCTGCAGCGAGAATGGCCGTTGGGTGTGTTCTTGAGCTCGCATTCAAAGGTGAGAACGTCATGCCAAAATGTTGGCATTGGTGATCATTTAAGCGACTCCGCGATTTTTTTTATTTTTATTTTTTGCCCTGACCCGTCAACTCTGGTTAGACGTTGCACTTATATAGGTACTTCATGTGAAATAGCCTTTTGCGTGTGTGTAATGGTTGAGTCACTGCTACTACACTTATACCGTATGCGGCATTTTAATAATGTATCATCTACGTTTGGTTAAATCTCTTGAGAATATTTCTCATGTTTCATTTTGATTCTTCCGAGAGACATTTCCTGAAGAATCAAATATGCGGCATTTTAATAATGTATCATCTACGTTTGGTTAAATCTCTTGAGAATATTTCTCTTGTTTCATTTTGATTCTTCCGAGAGACATTTCCTGACAAATATTCCGGGAAGTTGATGCGTTATGAGTTTTTGAACTACTGTACTGCATAGAATATGGTTTACCTGTGAAGATGTTTGTGCCTTGTGTATATATATATATACCATGCAAAGTACAGTAAAATCTTGTTACAACAAACTTTTGGGAACTTTGGAAAAAATGTGTTATATTGAAACATTTGTTTGTAATGCGATTTTAAAAATGAATGACCAAAACGGTTTTCACATCAGACCTGCCTAAATAATCAATTTTATCTTGCTTTTCTGGTATTCTCAGATTTTTTTTATTATTGGGAAAACTGAGGGAATTCAGTTGCACCAATCTTTTCACTTTGGAAGGATGATGTGTGGAACCACTTGGAAGCATGTTTTTCATTAATTGCAGTTTCCATTTCATCCATGCTATAATAAGAAACACTCAGTCAAATTTGGTATTGGAAATTTCAGACTGTCGGACGGAGTCAGTCCTTTAAAGATGTATATTTTTGACAAGTTGTAAATAGTCTTTTCAAACAATACGACCCTAAGCTTTAAAAATAATACTCTAACAAAAATGGACATGAAGTACCCGAAGGACGGAGGACTTGAAAAAAAGTGTGTTATGCTGAAAATTTTGTTTTAACGAGATTTGACTGTATTTTCATACTGTATCTACAATGGGTTAAATAATCACATGAATATACTGCAAATAATGTTCCATTTTGACTATTCAAAGAAACATATCCCGAATTCAAATTGTTTCAAGTCCCAGTCAGAATTTCATCAGAATAAGCAATCCATTGAAAACCTCTATGACTCAAAGGCTTTCCCCCTCAGACCTCCAAAAATGGAATTTTCTGGAGGCCTTTTGGCAATTATTTCATTGACACAGAAACAAGAATAGCGATAAAAACAGTAACTTGATGCGTTTTGAAAGGAAGTTGAAGACTTGTCATCTAAAGTTATTTGAGTGTTCTACATCATGTATAAAATACCCATGTCAGTGTGTTGTTGCTGTGCAGCATCTCTCTCATTCATATTCCTGCCACAAAACAGTTAATGGTGCATTGCAGATATACGTTCTTGAGATCTGGTTTACTTTCTGACCCAATGGCTCATGACCGGTCATTCATGTGTGAATCAAGAGAATATATAAAGGATGTGTCCAAGCACATCTTCAGTATTCATTGTCTGTGGAGTCTCTGATGCTGACTGTGGATGTACTAGACACATATTCTATTGCACTTGTATTGAGAAGGCTTTCATTTCATATCACCTGGCTACAGAGTTAATAAACTTCTCTACAAAGTTTAGAATTTGAGTCTCTTGCAAAGAAGACGTTGGACGCGATAGCATTCAATTTTGATCTGTTTCAGCAACTTAAGGTAACAGACTTCACTGGGAAAATGAACCCTTGCCTCCAAGTCCAGCTTCCTTTCAACTAATTCAAGAAGCAATTTAAGTCCAAGAATTATTATAATTACAATTCCCAATTTAATAATTATTTATCTTTTCCCCCACAAAAATGCTTGTTTCTGCGTAAGTCAAAACTTCCCCAACTCGATTTTTTTTGTGCTGGTCCAGTGAAATTCGACTTGAAACGGTTTGACTGTACTGTACTGTACTGTATTTTGATTTATATTTTACCGTACTTTCAGTTGCACATGGAGAGGCCTCGAATGGATTCGCGGTTGTTCGTCCGCCTGGACATCATGCCGAGCATGGCGAGCCGATGGGCTTCTGTTTCTTCAATAACGTCGCGATTGCTGCCAAGCATTTACGGTGCCAATTAGGACTGGAGAAGATCCTGATTATTGATTGGGTACGAAGAAAGAACCCGTTTTTTGTTTTATATAGATTTAAATAACGAGCGCGGGTGACCGTGAAAACGGATCGCCGGCATGTGATGGTGCGCCAACCGTAGCGATATTTTCGCAATTATCGCTCTCTATAATTAAAACCAATACCTTTTTTTTTTTTTTTGTTGCTTTACTCGAGGTTTCCAGAATATGTTCGATACTCGACCTGACAATTTATTATTTTCCCCGTTTGACGTGTTCATACTCCGCTTTTATTTTGAACAGGATGTGCATCACGGAAATGGCACGCAAAAGATGTTTTATGACGACTGCCACGTTCTGTATTTGTCTATTCATCGTCACGATGTCGGTAACTTTTTCCCTGGCACCGGTGGTTCCACGCAGGTGAGCAACTTTTTGTTTTTGCGAATATAATCTTGACGAATCTTTACACACTGTGCATTACAGTATTTCTGTTGTCCCAGTTGGACGCGACCTCTTGATATTTTTAGAGTAGGTGTGATTGTAAACAAAAAGGAATCATGACATAGCTCATGATGCTCTAAGACTCTGGGATTTTTTTTTCGGATTTTTAAAACTAATTTAAAATTTGCTGCATGATGATAAGTGTAAACTTCCCACTAGCAACCAGATTTCTCCACCCACCTCACAAGGTGCCAAACATTTTCCAGGATTGTAATTGTAATTGTTTTGTTTACTCGGTCATCTAAAGTTCTAAACTGTTGCAAAGATCACGGGTAAAGGAAAAAGAGAAATTATGCTATTCAGCTGGTCTGACAAATTTTCAACTAAATTTTTTAAAACAAAAATTATATTATTCAGCTGGTCTGACAAATTTTCAAATGCTGTAAATTGTTTTTTTTTACACATCATCTGAAATGTTGAGAAGAGAATGGGTAAAACAGCAAAAAAATCAATTTTTTAAGCTGGTCTGACAAATTTTCAGCACCCTGTGACACAGGTATAAAGAACTCGTGACAGTTACTAGAAAGTTTTCATTCATCATCATGAAGTGAATGTGAAATTTGTTTTAAAAATCCGAAAAAATCCCAGAACAGCTTAAAACATCAAGGGCTATATGTCACAATTTTTTTTTTTTTTTACAATCACACCTATTCCAAAAATAATTTATCGAAGGTCGCGTCCAACTGGGACAACCCACGTATATGGTGTGAATCGTTCAGGGATGTTTCAGGATCTTTTGTGTGAATTAACTTTTTCTCCCTTGAATCCTGAAATAAAATTGTGAAGCCCTCCAGGCGAATGGTGTGAGTTCATCCTGAATTAAATTGCGTATGGTTCGAAAATGAAATATTCTCTGTATAGAGTGGATCAGGCGTTTGTGCTGACTGCTGATGATAAATTATAATTCGATGCGGAATGCATGGGTGGAAGCAGTATGCCGTTTACAGACTAATTTCGAATTACCCCTGATGTGTGTAGATCATATGTGGTGATCATTAAAAACTCATCACGTCATCTATGCTGTCGTTTTGCTTGCAGTGCGGAGCTGATGATGGGATGGGCTTCACCGTGAATGTTGCCTGGAGTGGAAGTCTGAACCCGCCGATGGGTGATGCCGAGTACTTGGCTGCTTTCCGGACTGTTGTCATTCCGATCGCACAGGTGAGGCTCTTGTCGTCGAGGTATAATCATGAATTTATTTTTGAACCCATCACGTTCGTGACTCATCATCGCTCTATACTGATGAGCCTGGGCGACCCATCGTGTCGCGTGTATACTTGGTCGTGGAAACTTTTTGTGTTTTTTCCCTGTACATGCTGATGAATGTCCTTGAACATTTACGAATGTCTGTTTGGAACTCGAGGAAACCCGCAGTCATTTTTAAAATCGTAATATAGCAAAATTCCGTCACAACGAATCTTGTTGTAACGAATTTTTCATGATTGATTCTTCATTGTCGCTCTTTCTTTGTGTAGGAACGATGTTATAATTATCTAATTTTAATGGATTAATCTTTTGCGGAAATTGCGTGATAACAATTTGTTTGCCCTATTTCTATGAATTGACTATATATGATTATCAATATGATTATCAAGCAAAGTTATTGGAAAAATATCAAAGAATGATCATTATCATTTTTTGATCATGATCATTCGATTTTTTTGTTTTAATACAGGTGGTACCTTTAAATTTGACCCTAATCCATTGCTGAACTAGGGTTTAATTGCAGATCAGTCAAATCGCAAGACACTCTGTCAAATTCAAAATATAAGTAAAAAATAAAGAAAAATGGAAAAAGCAGGTCAAATTATGGGGCAACAGTCAAATTGCAAGTCAATCTCCCTGCAAATTTGGCTGTCAAATTGTGGGACAGTCAAATTGTGGGAGGTTGAATTGCAAGGTACTGTATACTGTTTACTGTGGCCAAAAGTAAGCCATGCACCCCCATTTTCCTCAAGAAATTTGTCCAAGAACCTAACCCCATGTAAGACCCACACCCCAGTTTTTTTGTTTTTGTTTTTGCTGAAAATCAAGAATTGTGAAATACTTTTTGCATGGATCCATTTTTCACCATTGTTACCGTATTTACTTGAGTACCATGCGCACCTTTTTTCTCAAATTTGAGAAGAAAAAAAGGGGTGCGCATCATAAGCAGATACAAATTTTTAAGAAGTTTTAGGAAGTTATGTGTGCATTATACTTGATTATAATGGAAAAATTTTGAACAAATGTAACAAGAAAACTTTTTTGTACTGAAAAAGTTGAAAATGGATCCAATTTTTGTTCAGTTCATGTCTAAAGTCAAATTTTTTGAATTTATTTTCAAAATTTTGTGGTTTTAGATACACTAAAAATTGGGGTGCGTGTCTTACTTGGGTATAAGATTTTAGCCGAATTTCCAACTGAAAAACCCCTGTGCGCGCCTTGCTTGAGGGTGCATGGTACTTGAGTAAATAGGGTACTGTATTTCATTTTTCTTGGTTTTTACTGTGTGCAGCTTCTTCAGTTATTCAAATATCTTGCACTTCCTTTACTTCATGTGTTGCATCTCCAACTGATTCCTTAAATTTTTATTGCTTGAAGAGTTATTTCCCCATGGACAAGGAGACTTGGCACCGCACATTTTAGCTTTAAAGTATTTATATTTTTTGTTGGTTATAGATATATGTACAAACATGCCCCTGAGGGGCTTTGGTTGTGGGGATTTTTTCGTTAATCAAAACGTTGTAAGGAAATCCAAAATTATTCCCAAAATACAGGGTACAATCATTTTCTGTGACGTGGCTCGTGTATCACCATGTACGCAGCAGGTTGATGCATTCTCCTCAGTACGATGACGCACTTTTATAATAATAATAAATAAAGAAAAAGAAATGATAATTTTTCTTATTTTTTTAATAATGTAGAAAATTCCATTTTTCCGCACATTTTTCTGTCTTAATTTCTGTAAAGAAGGTGCGCGAGTAAAAATACGGGTATTATATTTTTCAAAGGATTTCCACCCGGACATGATATTGGTCTCCTGCGGATTCGACGCTGCTCGTGGACATCCGGCTCAACTCGGTGGTTACAATGTTTCTCCGGCGTGTTTTGCGCACATGACTCGTGCTCTGATGCAACTCGCCCACGGCAAGGTGAGTTATTATTATGATTTGCCAAAATATATCTGGATCACTTTATGAAGTGCTGCGCAACCAACATCTTATTAGCATTCATTGCTGAGAAATCATGCGGAATTCATACAATTGGATCGTTATATTATGACTGCTGCCAGGCGAATGTACAGTATACGAGGGTTTTCCCGCTTTTGGGTCCAACTATACTGTACAGTACTTTGGTTGTTTCTGGAGTAGGTACGACTGTGAAACCGAAGTACGATATACAGTAATTATATGGCCCATGATGTAAGGTTCTGATATTTTTTCGGATTTAAAAGAAAATTCATTTAATGCACAGTCAACCCCTGTTAAGATGCCCCCCAATGTGTCTAATAAAATTTATTAGACACCAATGAAGAATTGAAGAGCGAAGTAAAAAATTGCATCTGCCTCCGATGACGGCAAGTGGCAGTTATCATCTTTTACGAACCAACTCTTTTATGTTAATACTGTATATCTTTATTTGACATTTTGATGAGACAATGGCAGTTAAAATTATCCAATGAAAAAATAAATGTTGGCGTTTCTCCTAATAATGCTTCAGACACATTTTCACCCAAAGAAATAGATTTGTTTTACTGTATTTTCCAGTCAGAGAAACCTTTCTTCAAGCCCACCCTCCTAATTTTTTAAGGCATCCCAGTAAAGTTAATTCATTGGTTCTTAATTTTTGCACACAAAAAAGCAGACATTTTCCAAATACCTACCATGAGGTCTTGTAAACTTTTCCATAAAACGTTGCTGGTCCGTAACTCCGTGGGCTGAAAAAGGTTGGGAACACTGATCTAAGATGTAGATAAGATAATGGATCTAACAACAGAACATTTCTATATTAATCTGGTCTGAACAATGTTTAGTATTCATGATTAATCTCCTATATATAGCTAGCAAAAATCGTCGGGAGCAAAGCGATGTCGATGACGAGTTTTCTGATTTTTATTCTCTTCAAGGTGGTTCTGGCACTGGAGGGAGGCTACAGTCTACCGGCCATTTGTGATTGCTCCGCGGAATGCGTCAGGTCGCTACTGGGCGACAAATTGCCGCCGATCGACGACGCGGAATTGACAAGGAAGCCTTGTCAGGAAGCCATCGACGCTCTGATGAGCACGATTGCGATTCAGGTGAGCCCAACCCGCCGTTGCACTTATGATTAGGGACAATCATTAATTATGGTTTGAATATCAATCATGTGACAAAATCAATAAAAAAATATTTTTCTCATCTTCGAGGTGCTGGAAGTTACTGATGTGCAGAATCTGCCCTTTTTGGCACGAAACAGAGTCTTTAAGGCAAAAACAAAAACAAGCCCCCAAACTGACGATGTTCAGTGGATGGAAAATTTCCTTATTACAAGCAAAGCCCAAAATCTCTGTTTAGGAAATAAATCTAATTAAATTTGTAATGAGATTTATTTTGACTATTTTCAGATCAGTGGCTCAGTTTTTTGAGTTTTTATTAATTGTTTATCTGCTAGGCCTTGATCAATTGCTTCTTAAATGAGTTGAATGGAAGCTGAACTTGGAGGCTAGGGTTTATTTGCCAAATTAGTCTTTCACTCCCTTTCAAATAGCATAAGTTACATTTTTATTAATTTTTCCAATACTTCTGTCAATGAATTATTAGCCAAATATTATCCACAAAATTTGAGCTATGCTGGAGGTTAGAGGAGGAAAGCCGTGGAGTTGGAGAATTTATTTTAAATCAATTGTTTATAAGTGCATTAAGATAAAGAGACTTGAACAAAATTTGACACAGGAATTATTTGAGGGAGGTTTGATTTCTTGAGGTTCAACTGTATACATTTTATATAAACCCTGTGCAGTTGTTCGCAGGTCTGCAAAAAAAACAACTCATTTTTCTCTTTTCCTATTCGTTGTCACGCATATCAGACACCGCATTGGCCAGTGATCCGGAAATGGTGTTTCTGTATATGTGAATTCAGATAAAGGGACTTGAACAAAATTTGACATGGGAGTTATTTGAGGGAGGTTTGATTTCTTGAGGTTCAACTGATGTATACATTTTATATAAACCCTGTGCAGTTGTTTGCAGATCTGAAAAAAAAAACTCATTTTTCTCTTTTCCTATTCTTTGTCACGCATATCAGACACCGCATTGGCCAGTGATCCGGAAATGGTTGCCCCTGGTGAACATGTCTGCCGTGGAAGCGGCCAAGCACTTGCTGCCCGGGGCGAGTATCGGCGTGGACCGCGGCAGCGACGGCCCGTTTGCGAGTCTGCCGAGTATCCCGGGCCACGTGACGAGCAAACGATCTCTGTTTGGGCGGAAATCGGATTCTACCGAGGAATCTGAGACCGTCAACGCCATGGCGAGTCTCTCCGTCCAACACCCGCATATGTCACCAACCAACGGGTCTTTGCGCCGTGTCGCTTCTGCACTAGCGTGAGTGCTGCTCGATGTCTGCCTTTATGAAATCCCCGTTTCGTAAATGTGTACTGTACTGGAGTCATTTTTGCTGCTGTAAATGTGGAATACATCGCAGTTTTCCCGAGATATACAGTTCTTTTTTTTTTTTTTTTTTGCAATGGAACCCAGACCAATAAGATTTGAATGCATTTTTTTTCTAAACCTTAGTTTTCCCCCTTTTTCACACCCGGTTACTTAAATTGTTTTAATCCTCTCCATTGCTATTTGCATAATATGGGGGTTGTCCCAGTCTGACGCGGCGTCTGATATTTCTATAGTAGATGCGATTGTTGAAGAGAAGTTACAGAGCCCATGTTGTTCTATGGCTCTGGGATTTTTAGAAAAAGATATTAAATTTACAGCATATATGATGAGTGTAAACTTCCCAGGTACAACCAGAATTATCCACTCATATCAGAAGGGTAGCTGAACATTTAAATCGTTTTGTTTTAAACATTATATTTGGCACATTTTATATGGGTAAGATAACAAGGAAAATTTAATTTTTAGGTGAGGACAAATTTCGAGCACCCTGTGGCGGCATGGGTGGAGAACTTTGGCTGTAACTGGGAAGTTTTCCTCTCATCTTCATGCAGTAAATTTAAAATCCGTTTTAGAAGTCCGAAAAAAAACCAAGAACTTTAGATTAGAACATATGGGCTATGTCATTTTTTTTACAATCGCGTCTACTATATACAGAGAAATATCGGAGATAGCGTCCAACTCGGACAACCCTCGTATGTGGGCTATCATGTGGTTCTGATGCTTCTTTGTTCTAACTTCATCGTAATGGCGAAAGTCGCATCTTTCCCAACTATGAAGGCTTGAGCATTTCCTTCGTTTTCCTTTAAATTGATAAACAGTATTTTCTATGTACTCAGACATTATAATTGGTTTTAAACGTCCGTCTGTTGACAGAAGGCAAGGAGATTCTCTGGATAGCAAAGCAGATCCAGTGGACGAGCCTATGGATGAAGACCCCGTGAAATGATCACCTCTTCCGTTGGAGAGACGAACTTTTGAAAATACATACGTGTACAACCCCGCGGGACAGAGGAAAACATGGATCGGAACCAAGATGGTTCTTTGGGATTGTTCAGCGTAGAAAAGACAGCCATCATGTTTGGTGTGTCTCAGGGCATCTGAATGTTCGTTTGTACTATAAATTACAATCGGAGGCAGTCAGTGTCGCGGATATACGTGGTGTATCTGGGTGTTCAACTCGAAACCTGTGTCGTTTCTTGAGGCTTTCCATGTCAACAACCGTACACTCTTTTTCTTCTTTTTGAAATCGTGACTTCCGCCGAACCGTGACAAAATATGTTTTTGTTTCCGTTCTGGCAAGTATGGCGGAAACCAAGCAAACCGTTTCAGGTAAAATGAGGAATATTTATTTCTGCATCGTGACGTACGATTTTCATGGAAGAGATTTTTCCAATGAGAGATTCTCAGTGTTTGTTTCTTCTTATTGGTGTGAGTTCAACGGCGCAAATCTTTTTTCTTTTATCCGATCTTAGCTGGGAAAATTGTATCGACTGTTTCTATGTGCAGTAGCTATCAATGGTGCTTACGTTTTGCAAATGGATTCAGCTCAATGCAAGACTTTGATACCACGAGTTTGATGGTAGAAAACTCTAGGTGAACATTGCTGTAATTATACTTCAGCATTTGACCTCTCCTTTGCGTGTACAACTGGGTGTCTACCTTTCTTGCGATACTTGATGAATCAGGAAAAAAAAGGGAGGGAGGGCAAAGAGAGAAGACTTTAGATACCATTCAAAGCTGTGCAAAACGCACGTGAAGAGATGGGATAAGAGTTCAAGACGTTAAAACATTCCGGTGAAAAGTGTGATGACGTGTTCGGATTCTAGGTTGATTCACGTCACAACTTCCAAAACCCCCGCTCAGCTGAAAGTTACCCATTGTGTTCGAATGAAATTCTGTGGGGAATTATGTTTTGTTTGCTTACTTTCACCTTGAATAATGTGAGGGTTGCATTTTTATTTTGTGTTTTGGAGAACACGGGATCTAATGGGACTTCGGTTAGCTTCATGTTCAGTTTTTTTGGTTAATTGATGAAGCCACTATACTTGATGTTTTTATTGTTGAAGCAATTTGCGGAACCGGATGATGCTGGATCAGAAAAAGGGGACTTTTGATGCAACCTGGAAAGAAATACATTGGTGGTGGTTCTGTTGAAATTCTATACATTATTCAAGCATGTCGAGTCCAAATTATTGGGCAAAAATTAAAATGTGGAATTAATTTCGAATGATAATTTATTCCACGTCCACCCTAATCAAAAAAGTTATTAAAATCTACTTCCCCGGCCGGGACGCATCCTGCCAGAAGTATCAAATGCTGAATCCGAACGCCCTTCTGAAATACATTGAAAATGATCGGAGTTTAATATTTTCTCAAAATCTGTCAGGCAAAAATTATATTACTGTACTTACTTTCACCAAAACGACGATCAAAATCTTCATCATAATTAAAGGTGTCCTCGGGTTCATCCTCATCATCATCGTCTGCATACCCCAATCCGGATATTTCTGCTTCTGCTGTTAGAAGCTCAACGATCGCTCTGAGCGCAGGAAGCATCAAATAATTTGTATTACTCATTGAAGTTAATATAATCCACAGAAACCAAATCACCTCAATAACTTTTCCTCTTTAGTTGCCGACTTCTCCTTAGTTGCCAGTTCCCACCGGGAAGGTCCAGGGTGAGTAATTTTATAATCTAAGAGATCATCCAGACAAAGTCGCAGCCGCTGAAAATCAAGCACCGAACTTCACTTGAAAGCCAAATACACAAGAAAAAAAAAAAAGTTTGATTCTAAATATAACTTGAAAACGAATTTATGTTATTTTTACTTTAGACAAATAAGAAGCACGAAATTCCCCGTCGTTTTAGCTCATCATTAAGATATACGCCTACACTGTCACTATTGCACATTATTGCATCTTTAAAAACTAGGGGATGATTTCTGAAATCATCTTTGAATATAATACAAGAAATTCAATGAAAGCCTACACCTCTGGCGTATAATTTTGAATATAAAAACAAACTTCAAGTTCTCCATCGGATATCTCGTGCTTTCATAACAAAAAAACAAGAAGCAGTACAAACCTGAATAAAATGTGCAATTCTCTCCGAACTCTTGAACTTCACGTACTCGTCAGCACTCAGAACCTGGTGATTTTTCGGACTCCGGATATTTCCCATTTTTGGAACGGGTTTGGATTTCACTTCTTTCCCAAAGAAAAGCAACGAACACGGGCTCGCGACGGATGCGTCGAAGAGACTAACTCTAGCAGTCCTCTGCTTCATCTTGTACACAATCCACGGGGAGGGATAGTCCTTCTCATCAACAAGTACACTTTTGGAGTGAAAATGGACTGTTTGATTGTCCTCGGGAGTCCGCATTGCAACAGGCGCATTTCGATTCCTCCTCAGTCTGGAAAATAGACGAAAGCCATCAGTAGTTCGTAGAAGATCTAGGTCAATTTGAGAAAGGGACTATTGGAGACAGAAAAATTTTGAGACAGAGCCTATGTGAGACATTCCAAAACGTTTTGAGACAGGGGCTATTTGAGAAAGTCATGTGAGCTAAATCAGTTCAGCATCATGTTTAATGCTGTTTACATTTATGGTTGTATTTATTGTGAGAACAGTGGGTGATTATGCCATGATGCAATAATCCCATGCGCATAACAGATTTTTTGTCAGATTCTTTAAAAATCAAACACTCCTTGCTCTCATTACTCTCTTAGTCCATTTTGATCAATTTTTTTTACACATGTGATGAAGAAAAATTATAAATCACACAGGTTTTGAAATAAGAGTTTAAAAGGGAATGAAGGTGAAGATGTATCTGAAGGTTATGTCTTATTTCTGCGGTCTCCAATTGTTGCCATCTCTATATGACCCTGTCTCAAATTGTCCGCGTCTCAAACCGTCTTCCTCGAATTGTCCGTATCCCGTTTCGGACATCGCAACAGTGAACATAAAAACTAAAATGTTTACCTAACGTGCGCAATATTTGGATACAGCCCGGCACAAACAACCGCCCTGACAAGTCCCATCTTGCCCGAATTTTTGTTCGAAGCAGCATGCTTTGGATTCCCATCTGCCAGAAAGCCCATTTCCTTCAGATATCCCGCCAACTGTTTTTTCATGTCTCTGAATCACAAAAAAGTATTTATTGTCAAGAGCGGATGAACCGCAATACATTTTGAAGAAAAAAAATTCTTCTTTACCTGATCATAGACAAAGTGTTTCCACTCATGAAGTTCTCCCTGCAGAACATTCTGTCAGCAATGTGTCCTTCCTTCGATGCTTCCTCCCAGGCTTCGAAAGCTTTCGCGAACATGATGTGATCGCTACAAAGGCCCGCCGAGAATTCCATTTTGCACTGCATCACTTCCCTTTCTTTCCCCTACACAAAGAAAATCAATATCCTTCGTAAAATTTGGTGAATTAAATAAACTAAAATTAAATCCTCAAATGCAGTTCATCAAAGTCAAAAATTCAAGAAGGGAGAATTTTAAAAATCACTAATTTTTCACGAATAAATTTAACATAATTGAAAGGATTGGAACGGGACCCTTTCAAAAATCATAAAGCGCATTCACCGCGTTTACTCGAGTCCCAAGCGCCCTCAAGCAAGACACGCACCTTAGACTTCTAGCTAAAAGTTTGGGGAAAATCCTATCCCCGCACAAGACTCTCACATTCATTTTCAGCTGCCAAAATTCATATTTTAAAACTCTCCCCGGTAAAAATCGAAATTTAATCCCAATTAAAAATTAAAATAAAAGGAGAATTTTTGTTTCATTCAAAAATAGTATCATTACAATAGAGAAATTCTAAAATTTTTCGAAATAGGAAGAAAAGTTATTTTGCACACAACTATGTGTACTCCATTTTTTGCCTGAGTTTACTGGAAAAAATAGGTGCACATGGTACTCGGGTAAATACGATAAATAATTGTAGTTAGTTTTCCAATCTACCGTATAATAATTTTATTGTATTCCAAAACTTGCCATTGGAACGTGGAAGGGGTCTTTGAATGCCAACACAGCGGCGATTGTGGTAACGGGATCTAAACATGAGAAGATTGCACCCATCAACAGCATTTTTCCAGTTTGCGGATCGGTCGGAAGTTTCGCGAGATGAAATCCCAGCGGCGTCAAGTTTTCGTCCTTGTCCAAGGCATTCAGATCTCTTAGAAGCTGCAGACAAATACGTTAGTGTATTTTTAGGGAACGGAAAGTATAAAAAAACATGAAATTTCAACTGACCTTGATGGAGAGTTCGAGAGAGTTTTTCGTCGGTGGTTCTATCACTTTGGACAGGAAATCCGCTATTTTCCCCAGCTTCAGCAATTTAATTTGCAGACACAATTCTTCCAGCCTCATTCTTTTGATTTCCGGCAACAAGAAGTCAGAGAAAGTTGTCTCTCGAGCCCGTGAGTAGAGGTGGAAACACTTTCCAGGTTGTACCCTAATGCAACGCAACCATCCAGTCACAATTCCAGACAATGCAACTGCATTTACAACAAAAGTTCTGTCGCGTGAGAAATGGATACTCCACCTAATATAGCGTTGAATACAGGAGATTTAAAGTTCTTGCACTGCGTTTAACCTCTATTTTTCTACTGCACCATGCAGAAACGTTTCTGAATTCCTCATATACACTTTAATGAAACAACATTTCTGCAGCACAGTAAAGGTACAGTAATTTTTTATCAAGCCACAAAATCAGGAGCGTCTCAACACCAAAAAAAAAAAATCAGAGATCATAAAAGTATTGTTTGATATCGAAGAATTGAATTTCCTTAGTCTTCGCTTCAAAATAATATTTCTCCAAAAATTACTGCTATAGCGCGAGTCCGCGAGAGTTAAAAGTTCATCCAATATTTTGAAAAATTAGGCACAGCACACGCCAAAATGATTAACATACCTGCCAGCCCTTCCTTTCCGTTGTCGAGCGTTGGCTCTGCTCACCCAGACAGCATCAAGAGCCTGAATATTCAATTGAGGGTCAAACGTGGTCATTTTTATTTTCCCCGAGTTGATCACAAAAACCACATCGTCGATCGTGATACTAGTTTCGGCAATGTTTGTTGCGATTATGATCTTCCGAACACCTGCCAAAACATAATCGATAATTGAATTACGTACGATCAATAAGTATAGGCAATGAAACACTTGCCTGGAGGAGGTCGATCAAAAACGTGACGCTGGTTCACGGTCGGCATGAGAGAGTGCAAGGGCAGTATCACGTATTTCCCTATTGGTAAATGCATGGAAAGAAAAAGCTTTAATTACCAGGTATTCAGATTAAATCCAAGGCGTTCATCAAAAGTCTTGCGAGTAACCAACAACTTATTACCACTCAACAGAGATGAAGATGCGATACAATTGGATATCAACTGCATCTTCAACTCCAATATACACTATTTCAGTGTACGAGGTCGTGAACTTCAGAACTTGAGGAAAAATGTTCCTTCCATTTTTTTTTTGTAAGGATCCTCTCAAGAGGAGCATGAAAATAACAGCTCATTCATACCTTCTGACAGGATTTCCTCTCGGAAAAAAATTATCTTTGATGTCATGTCCTGGGCTGAATGGTACGAAATTTTCAACAACGAAGTTCTGAAATTATATTTCATCTTACTGCAAGAGCGACTTTTAGGTGATACGCGGCAAGACTTTTGAGAGTACCCTCGAAATTTTGATTACATTTCTTTTAATTCGTGCGGGATAATTGATTCATAAATGTTACCACATCAATACCAAAATTTCACCTCTTCCGAAGAAACGATCCGCATTGAGCAGTTTACTAAGCTTTGAGATTTCTTCCCAGCCCGGAAAGAATACCAAAATAGCCCCATCTCCTTCATTTTCACAAATGAACTTGATAGTTTCAACAGCTGCCTCTAGAAGAGCGTCCTGAGTTTCACAAGCAGGAGATTCCAGGGCACGCATAACGCACGCGGGATACCGCTCTCGTTTCAAAATTTCCCTGAAAGAATAAAAAGGTAGCATTAATACTGACGCAACACACCAAGGTATTCGGAAATTTGAAAATTACTTCAAGACTGGGAGGACCCGAGTTTTATATTCCAAGAGCTCTTTTTGCTGGGGTCGTTTTGGTCGAAACCCCCCTCTACGTCCTTGATCAGGCGTTATCTGTAGTCCGGTTAGTTTGATGATATCTTCGAGATAAAATTCCTCGACTGGAAAGGTGAGTCCCGGAATGTGCAGAACGGGACATTTCCCGAAGTATTCGCTGAACAATTCAGCATTCAGGGTTGCTGACATGAGAACCACTCTTAGGTTCGGCCGCTGTTTTTCAACGAAGCAGATATACGAGGGTTATTCAACAAAAGCACAAACATTACAGAATAATGATTGAGATAAATTGAATTTATCTAGATCAACATCAATTGACGACTCAACACGAACTAAAAATAGTTCGAAAATGAGATTATCATTCGACAGTGGAACTTGCAGAAGTCTCACGTTTGCCAGGACGTCTTTGGTGAGTGCCAAGAGAAAATCAGAGAGAACGTCACGTTCATGTATTTCGTCCAACACGATGTGAGAATATTCTTTGAGAAGAGGATCACTTTGCATCTTCGTCACAAGGATTCCAGTAGTGCAATACAGAATCGATCCGGTCGATTTCGGAAGTGTCCTATTGTTTAAATGTGAAGAGATGCAAAAAGAGGGATTAAATAAATTGTTTTAAAGCATTATTCAAGCGCAGTATTTTTGCGCAGTCATTAAACATATTGTACACACGCCTCTTAATTAGATTCCGAGTCCAAAAAATTCAGGGAAACAATTTTGCAAGAATAAATGAAACGAAAAATTAACAACATAAAGTACCAAAAAAAATGCGAATCGAATGCACAATTTTCAATTACGACTATAGGAATATTGAATATTTTTCGATATCGGCAATTTCATAGGGCTCTTTCAATTTTTCATCCTGTCAGAGAACAGCATTTCTTCCGACGACAGCAGGGCTTTTTTAACCAACACCAATTTGGAAAATGAAATTCTTTTCATGTTAAAATCACAGAAAAAAATTTCGACGAAAACATGCTCAATTTTACTAAAATTATTTACGCAAAATTTACTCTCTTCGTTAGTCAGAACTACATTGTAAGTTTCTGGTGGGCCTGTATCCGGTTCACCGTCATGCTTTCCATTAAATGTCACACATGACTATATGATTGCACGTCACAAATTATTCTCCGCAAGAAATCACCCATCCACTGACGTCATGCACCGCTTCTATGTACAGTACTGTACTGATCTAAACTAGCAACCCGAAAAAGAAACTGCTCCAAAAACGGATATATTTCTTCAAACTTCAAAAATTCCCGGCACAAAAACAATCCTAATTTCTTTTTGAATTCCGAACGCGTCGGGTTGCAGAAAACTTGCTGCAATTCCATCAGTAGTAAAATTTTTAGTACAATACTTTACATGTTGGGTCATGAATTGCCCTCCTCTGTCGATAGCCTTCCGAATTAATTTCAATTTTTCCATAATCTTTCTGACAACGAGAGAAGGAAAGAAGGAACGGTGCGACATTTGGTCCTTATACGGAGAGAGAAAGGTTACGAAGTTTCGCTTGAGGAGCATTGCATAAGACATCACCACCATCTTATTTGAGAAAAATATTCGTGAAAATCCCGGCATCGCACAGAAATTGCGCAATCTCATGTGTGATACTAAATATGTGTTCTATGAATGAATAGAAGAGAAAACGTACGCCTGTAATCGTATCTGGAAACCCGACGAGCGCCCACAAGATTCACCACGTTCCTGTGCAACACGTTCAGCAACTGAGATGGCGGAGATTCGTCGAGGCTGAGTACAGATTATCCTGCACTCACTAGCTCGCTCACTCTCGATGTAATGATCCAAAATGTATTGCGGAACCTGCGTGGTTTTTCCACAACCTACAAAAAAGGACGCCGTATCATTCAAATCCTAATCATTAATGATTCGCCCTCGTTAGGTCTACACGAAAAAGCGTTCGCACTAATTTTTTTATTTTCTTCCAGAATTATTCGACAGAGAAGGTTCAGGTTACGTTAGTTAAACTGGATTTCGATGATCAATCCAAAGTTCCATGTTCATTAGGTGTTACGCAGTGCTGCCCAAAATACACCCCATGGGCCAGATCTGTCCCACAGAGACTCTTCATCCATCCCACAATCCCCTCTCTATAAATTTCAAGGTGGCAGCCACCTCTATTAAAAATATACCTTGAAATATGAATCTAAAAATTCAAAATTTTGCGCCACCCTTCGACAATTCTATGAGGTCATGCTTGTGATTCAATGCATAGCACTGAGCTAAATGTGAAGCTTCCCATTTGAAAGGGGAAAATTTGGAACCTCAAGAATCTTGCCATTACGGCCCGTTAGTACTCTCCCCCTCCGCAATGCGGCCCTTGGCCACAAATAATTTTTATTGTGGCCTTGGCCACGTCTGACTTGGCCGGCACTGTGTTACGTCATGCTATTTACTTCGATTGGATTAGAATATAGAACGTCGTTCAGGTCACGATCCATAAAATAATAATAAATCTGACTTCATTTTTCAACTCACCGGTCTCTCCACTCAGCACGACCACTTGGTGCTTTTCAATCATTCCCAAAATTTGTTCCTGCATATCATGTGAGGGCAACCGAGAGCGAAACTCGGCCATTCGCTGGTACTTTCTGTCAGAGGTTCTCTTCTGATCGAACTCAGATTTTATTTTCCGGTCGAGTTCTGGATTTTTCGACAGCCCAGCTGCCATGAAACGCTTTTTAATAGGCTCTTCCTCGTCCGTCGTCATATCTTCACCCCCGGCGCATTTGTTCTGCTTCAAGTTATCCAAAAATTGGTTCTTGAAACTACTGTCCTGATGAACACGTAAATGATTACTGGGACAAAGAAAAAACGCGTCGAAGTATGATTTTTACCTTCACGTGGTTGTAGCGATCGACGAAATGCGAACTTCCTGATGCACTCATCAAATCCCTACATCCTTGCCAGCCTTCTTCGTTAGACTGCTGAGGTCTGTCGATGAACTTCAAAGTTTCTTCGAGGCTATCCTCCGTCTCATTTGGAAGCATCACAGTCATCATCTGAGGATAAAATTCAACGAATTGTAAATCTCCGGAATGAAACAGTACATGCCGAACTTCTTGAATGTGCAAGACATCGTTATGCATAGCAATACTTCATTTTAATTTTTAACTACGAAACCGCGTTACCACGACTCTTCGCCAGCATTTAATAAAATTTGAAGCAATTTTCAGGTCGTTCTAACAATATAATTTTTGCAGGTTTAACGCTTAATACAGGTGGATTCTCCCTACAACGATCTGGTATATAGCGATTTTTCGGGTTCTCTACAAGGAATTTGATTCTGGTACCACGAATTTCATCGCAGGGAACATAAACCTGTAATTTCAAGAAACCCAAAGAAAGGCGTTTTCGAGTTTCGTCTGTTTCAGTCGGCATTTATTTTTTGTTGAAAGGAATTTAGTGTAGCTCATTAGTCTCACTTCACATCCAGAGGTCATTCTGCTCATGCGCTAATCCAGCGGTATCCAACGGAGAAGACGCACCAATGCATGGGTTATTGTACATTTGTCTGATCATTATTTGTCTGTAAAAGTTGGGGGTTTACAATGGACAAATTCTTCGAGCACTTGCGTCGTGTTATTTCCAAGTGTCGTCGTTAGATTGCTCTTTAAATACAAGATGTAGCACAGATAAAATGGTTTAACGAACAACCGATCCTCTCAGCTATGAAAAGCGATTAAGGCGACACGACGCCTTGAGATTCACCTCTTCTAATACATGAATTTACTTCTGTTAAAACTAGGAGTATTAAAAAAACACGGACACTTCTACCGAGAACGTGATCCGCGTTAATTCCAGATAATTATCACGTCGTTATCGGACTGAATCTTGAAGCATAATAAATACAAATGACTTACTTCCTCTATGTTTTCATGCGCAGGAGCATCCTTTTTCGCTTTGGACCTCGCCGCATACCACATACCTAAAAGTATGACAGAAATGTGATCCGAATCATGATCGCAGCGAAAGAATAACTCACCAATTTCGCGGCCTTTAAGATGAGGTGGTGGCCGTTCCTGGTCGGCGTTTGACGAGTGGACATCGTCTAAAAATCACAATTCGAACGAAGGAGTGAAATTTCGATACGGTACATAATGCCACACCAAATCCTCGAACCTGAGCCACGGGCGCCTCTGCCACGTCCGCCGCGATTTCCTCCTCTTCCTCTTGAACCTACAGTCAAGAACTATCAATACTGAGGCGATGTGTCGCATGATCATGCGGTTGACTCACCATCACGATGACTATTTCTCCCGCGCCACATTCCAGATTAACTTCACTGTAATATATTACCTATGTATAAGGCTTGACAAGCATTTGGAACGAAAGTCAACAAAACCTGCCAATTCGTAAACTTCTGAGAGGAAAATGAAATCTGCTGTCCCACGCACAAAGTGTATTTCAGTTTCCACCTCGAGGCAGCGGGGCATGAAAGATCCGGCACATCAAGAACCCGAGTGGAAAAAGGAATACAATGCAGCGGTACGAAGGGAGGGTTCTTAAGCATTTGTGAAGATTTTATTAAAAACCAGACAGACGTTCGCACCGAGAAGTCGTCATGACTCTCGGTCACTAGCAAATTTCTTCGATAAAGATTTCGAGGAAGGATTTGTTGATGCAAAGCCATTTTGGTGCGCCGTTGAAACTACCTGTGGCACGCCTTTCCGTACGGATTTGGCAAGTACGTGCGCATCCGCAGGTTCAATTCTCTTGTAATAATGATCTTTCGTTTCGATAATTTCGAAACCAAACTTCTTGTAAAAGTTAATTGCCCCTTCATTGCTTATTTGAACGTGCCTGAAAAAAATTGCACAACACCAATTTCAAAAGTTACAAAACCTTCTGAATTTCTTTTCTTACAAGAATACACTGTCGAAGTTCCCGTCTTTCTCAACAAATGCGAGGACGTGTTCCAACATCTTCGTGCCAATTCCATGTCGTCGGTAAGGAGCGAGACAACCTAAAGTCATTATGTAAAGTCGCCGCTGACCATCAACCACGTCAACACGACAGCAAACAGCTCCAACGATGATGTCGTTATAATAAGCTGTGAAATGGCCAAAATGAAGCCTGGTAAACTCAGATTCAGTCATTTTTTAACGTACACAACTTTGCAAGTTCTCCGGCTTCCAGGACATCTCGGTAGAATTTGTCGTTGTATGAGACTGGGAAAACAACTTGATTAATCATTTTGAGTTGCTTGATGTTTTGCGGTGTAACATCGCCAAGCTCGATGCGAACGCTAAAAAAAGATACACGATGATCAGACTCACAATCACTGTCAATAATGACCGAGATAACCCAGCCAGGGTAAATTGACTTACTCAGACATGATGATGCGCAGATCACACGGAGATAAACTTAACTGAAGGAAACAGGACAATACTGGAGCGTATCCATCGAAATTTTTTCTGAAGAACGACGTAATATGTAAGGAAAATAATATTCCGTATCTCACCAATTAGGGTTTACGAGAATGAACAGTTTATTTCCAATAATGTTTCAACACGTGACTCATGAATTCACAACAGAACGATTACGTGCACACACAACAATGTCATCACCGACGACTATACAACCGCGAACCAACCAGGTTTGGTTTCTGGCGGACTTAGAGTTATGAAGAGAATCCATGACAGATCGGGGAAATACTTCACAGTGCCGATTCGCACTGTGAGCCTCCGAGCCTCTCCTATCATACTCCCAGGAACACAAATGTCTCCTCAACGTAACCAGCTTTCCTGCGCCTCCGTTGCTGCAGTACTTTTCCGTCTGGGATTTCGCGTCTTCTACCGGTGAATCTTTGGTTCCTCTTTATTATCTGTGTACATTGATAGATACGAACAATTCTCAAAATAGGGAGTGAGGAATGGCTGAAATTTTCCGCGCGTTGTGCTTATGGCTCGGCGTATGCCTCTGCGCCGGATATGGAATGTACGAAGATCAAATCGGGAAATTCGATTGGTGAGGCTGAAATTCTACCTCTTTGGCGTATTATTTCTAACCGCGATATTCGTAGGCATCAGGAGTATTTGGGGAAAACCAAACTTGCTGTTTTTGAAAGATCCGCAGTAGGTGGAGGTCGAAGAATTTTTGTCGCCACAGAAAAAAATGTGCTGGCCGCCTTAAATCCCAAAAACGGTAAGTTCATACCTGCGTTATGTTTCCCAAATTAAATTTATCTGATTTTCTAGGCGTCGTCCAGTGGCGCAAGGTCTTCGAAGGTAATGATCCGGGAGAAGTCAAATTCCTCGGACTTGGAGAAAATGTGATAACTGTGACTGCGGACGGGTTGGCGCGTGGATGGGATCCCATTTCTGGTGCGCTTCATTGGCAAATTGATGTGTCTGTGAACAATGAGAAAAAGTAAGTTCACGTTTACTGCGCTTTGCATCGCTACATATTTTTTATATCCCTCAGGTGTGATTGGATTACGTATGCTTTGGACGAGGTGGACAATATTTTTGTATTTTGTGGCAATGTTGGAGAAAAATCGATCAATGCGCAAGTTTTCAAGTCTGAACCTTCAGCTAATTCGGCGTCAATTGCTGAGCACTTTCTTCCATGCCAATGGCTCCGTTCTAACACTAGGTACCGGCTATTCCTGTTGGATCACTTTTAGAGAAAACAATATAAATTCGCAATTTTGCTCTATTTTTCAGGTGCACCGCAGTGGGGCACGTACTGGCATGTCTGAATCCTGAGGAAGAAACCATTGCCATGTTGGACCTTCGCGGTATCCTAAGTTCGAATCCGGTAGAATTTAGTTTTCACTCCCTGACGTCAGGAAAGCTTGGAGACTCTGTGAAGACCATTCTTGGTATAAAAGGTGTAACTGCATTCATTAATTTCAGTGTGTTCTAACGATTAATTTTCGAAGGTCGCAGTCCCACCGTCTCCGCATTGCGAGGTTTGGAAATGCAGCCTTATCTTGTGATTGAGTCGAATGTCGGATACTACGCTGTTCTGGAAATATCGCTGAATTCAGAGCCAAAGCTTGTTTCGAGTGGAACGGTTCCCGATACGTTGATAGCAGGCTCCATTGCTGATGATAAACCGTACCTAATAATTCTCGAAAGCAATATGAAGGTGAGTTTTGATGAAATTATCATCCTATAAAGCGGATTTTTCTGTTCTGTCGTACGATGCGATTCATGCAGGATTATACTTTTCGAAACAATTTTTTTAATGAAGCTATATTGTATCTCTAAGTGCCACTTGTGGATTTAATCGTTTCTCTTATTGCCAGAGGACTGAATGAGCTGTGTTTGCCCATCATCTTATCACCTGCTGAGAAAATTTTTCGTAATCTGTCTGCTCTGCATGTAAGTTTCGTTTTTCCTTCTGTTTTTGCAGGTCACTATTCTTGATCTTCTCACTGGTACTTCTCACAAGGAATTGCTTAACATTGGAAATTTGAAGGCCGAAAGAGGAAATGTTGAAAGCATGCACGTACAACTCTTCGTTAAGAAAGAATCTGGAACTATTAGTTCCCGAATGATGTTGACGATGCAAGACTTTTCTTCGCTCATGGTTCAAGTGCCCGGTACGATTTTCTGAATTTCATATTCTGAACTGTTGGGTCAAGTTTCATCCGGAAATTTCAGGCAAAATGTTGTGGACGAGAGAAGAAGCCTTGGCCTCAGTTGTGGGTGTTGAAATGGTTGATTTGCCGATGTCTCTGCGCGAAGTCAGTGTCGAAAAGGAATTCATGATTTCAGGAGGTATTTCGAACCTGTGCCTTAATCTTTCATGCTTATTGTATTGTATTATTCCTCATTTCCAGGGCCGTTTTCAATGTTCATTCAACGGATCACTTCCCAATTTTCTCAAATTCATCAAGTGGGAATGACTCTTCTCGGAATTATGGAGCAGGAAATAGGTCTCCGTCCGGATGAAAAACCGATCCTTGAGCGAGACGAGTTCAATCTAAAAAAACTGATAGTTCTTGCGACGCAACCCGGGAAAGTGAGTTGCTTTTCAAGATTAATCGTTTTTGGATCATATTTAAGCGACCATTGTATTGTACTGTGTATCGTATTTCTTTAGCTTTTTGGTCTGGAGAGTGGCAACGGGAAAATAGTGTGGGCAACTTTTTTGCCAAATCTCGCGCCCCTATCTCGAGAACAGTCAAGTATACCTGGAATTGACGATTTACCCAAGTTCACGAAGGAGAAAATCCTTCTGTTTCTGCAAAGAACGTCTTCCCACTACCCACATTTGCCATTGATGACTGCTGTTGGTCAGAAGAAGGTATGAACTCATATCTGCCTGATCAAAGGGGCAAATCAAACTTGCATTACAAAATAATTCAATAAAATTTGCAGGATTCTGAAGGGGGTTACATTGTTGCATTCAATCCTATCTCTGGAACACTTCTGGAGTCTCATCCAACGGGTTTGGAGCTTGATTTTCGACCCGTCGTTGCGTCGGTGATTCATAAAACTGATGAAAATAGTCTTCATCCAATTTTAATTTTGGGGGACGACGGAAAAGTGAAGTGCTTTCCAGAATCGTCGGTGTCATCTGTTTATGAATTCAGGAATAAAATCTTCTTGTACACGATTGATCAAGGAAAGGGACTCATTCGTGGGTATGGATTGCAACCGTCGTCAAATACGGTGAGTACATCTGTCTTTTCTCGCCGAAGAAGTTTCGGGCTAACTGGATTCATTTGTCTTTGTTCAGTTAAGCCAAAATATTCTATTCATTTTGATCGATTATTGATGTCCGACTTTTGTAAATTTTAATAGGTATTGGAAACTGAACAGCTGTGGCAGTTGAATTTGCCGGTGAACGATCAAGTTCTGACTGTGACGAAGCCGAAGGATATTTGGGAAAAGGTTCATTCCCCAGGCAGAGTGATGGGAGACCGCAGTGTCTTGTACAAGTACATAAATCCAAATTTATTTGCCGTTGTAGGCGAAGGATATGATCCTAATAACAAATGTGAGTCTTAACCACCTCTTTTGGTCAGATCTCAAACTCACGCTATGAAAAGAATTACCTTTCGTGACAGTACTAGTGCATCGAGTCTGCTCCAGGTCCTGAAAAATGATAAAATTAGCTCATTTTTAAATTGCCCGCTCATTTTTCAGCCATATTGCGAGTTTCTTTGGTTTTTGTTAGTACGATATGAGAAATCTGCGTAGATTTGAGCAGTTCTTCGTACAGAGTGCACCTCCATTTTGCAACGTCCCAAATTGTCCTTTTTTGTACTGATTAATTGTTCTGAACTACGTTCTTTTCAGATTTCATCAATGTATATCTGGTTGACGGTGTAACTGGTCAAATAGTGACCTCCGCAAATCATAAGAGAGCACGAGGACCTGTGTATGTTGAACATTCCGAGAACTGGTTGGTTTATTCTTACTTCAACGAAAAGCTGAAACGAATGGAGGTTGCGACTATGTCCTTCTACGAGGGCAATGTTGAACGAGATGTTCCTGGTTCGTGTGCCGTCAGCTGTATTTTCTCGACATTCATCATTGAAAATGTTTCTTTCTTTCTAAATATGTAGAGATTTCATCCCTCCATCCCCCAGCGAATTCGATAATGGTTGAAAAGCAAGCCTATATTTTCCCTGCCGGATTCATTAATGCCATGAGGGCGACGGTCACGGAGAAGGGAATCACTTCTCGTCATATTCTGTGTGAGTCTATGTCCTTACATTACACGTTGAGAATTAGAATGAGGGTTGGTTCATAAATTGCTTCATGCTTCCGTTGGTTGAATAGAAATGGGTTTCATTTTTTCAGAGTGATATTTTATCATACCCTTGCCACTTCCCTAAAGTTTGATTTTGTTAGTTGAAATGAAGACAGAATACAAATTTGAAAGCGCTCCTCCATTACCAGTGGGTATCAGGTTTACCCACAACTTCTGCGTGTCATGACTTTGCAAGTATTTCCAGATTTTTTTAATACAGTAGTTGTAAAAATGTCATTAAGACACTGTCTCAAATCGGACAACCACGTTCTGATGAAAGAAGATTTTGGCAACACTGTATGTTGTCTGTAAGTTGATGGTTAAGGTTGCCCTGGAATATCAAATAGCTTATGAAAATTTGCTCAAGGCATGATTTCTAGTGAGAAAAAATCTTTGGCGGTGAACAGAATATCATTTTTAGGCCTTATTTCTTGTACAGTATTCATGCAGAAGTAGTTGAATGATGCCGACTCAGAAATTTGCGCATCCAAAGTACTCCATCTCGAGGTACTGATGAGACTTGTAAACGATTTGTCGTTGGCTTTACATTTTTATTGTTCACTGACGTGAAAGTTGAATTTTGTATTACGGTTTCAGTTAGCATTCCGAGTGGACACATAGTGGAGATGCCGTGGGCGTGGCTCGATCCCATGAGACCAATGCACATGGCGCAGATGACCCGAGTCGAGGATCTTCCTCCGTACGTGCCTGAGCTTGCCCTGCCGATGGAGGCCAGAATTAATTATAACATAACGTTGAGTCGGGTGGATGATATTTATACGGCCGCAAGTGGGCTTGAATCCACATGTCTGATGCTTGCGTATGGTTTGGGTAAGATCTTTGAGTATCCGAATTCTCGGGATGTTCAGCGAGTTATAACACATGTCTTTGTTTTTACTTTCAGATCTCTTCTCATCTCGAGTGACTCCCTCGAAAACTTTCGATCTGCTGAAGGACGATTTCGACCATGTGTTCATTGCTGTTGTTCTTGTTGGGCTTCTCGGGGCGTCTTATATAACCAAATACTGGGCATCTAGAAAGACTCTGGCCCAAGCCTGGAAATAGCTTGAAGTTAACTTCATTTTCTCTACGTTAGACTTCTTTGAGCCCTCCCCAATCCGTCTTCGAATTATGTATAGCGGCGGAAAGCCTAACTTTTTTGTTTTCGTCAGTTGTATTTTGGCATGCGTTCGTGTTACGGAAATCCCTCTGATGGTGAAAGAACAGCTTGCCAAAAGTCGGCACTGTTGCAATGCTGTGATCTCCCGTAGCTGTCATCGAATCCTCTTGACATTGATGTCTAAGCAATGTTCATGACCGTTTTGACAAATAAACTAGTCGAATGAGTTCAGGTGTGCCGAAAATTTGCGTCATGCTTGCAAAAAAAGTACATCTTTGCATCGTTATACGTTTATAGGTACAAAATGTGGATTCTATATTCCGAATTTTGCCAGTGATAATATGAGTGGTTCTTGCTTGTTCTAGTTAGTCCGGTATTGTTATTTCGATTAAAATCCAATGCTTTGAATGGTTATTTGAGTCGAAAATGACCGCTCATTTGAGACACCTGAAGCTGCTCAATTCGCCATGTTGCTGTCGCCGAATGTCCGGAGTCGGAGGACTGGAAACAGTCAGCTATGGGTTGGGGAAGTTTTCGCCCGTTTTCTCTGGTCTGCGAATTGCGGATGGGCTTCCGAATAATAGGCTTACGTCTGGTGCCGTCGAAAGGCCGAAGGATCACGGCTTTTGGGACCCAGATGCATATGATCAACAGAAATCGCGAACAGTTGCGTTGGAGCGTGAATTTGGACTATCGTCTGCTATTTCGTCGCAACAGTTTTTCTCCATGAGCTGTGAAAACAATCCCTTTCAAGCGAGGCAGCAGACTCTCGGATACTCCACTGCTGAGCGTCCCGCTCTGAAACTAGACAGAAACCGTATTGATCCACTGCGTAGTGAAACGTCGAAAGAGGGCTCTCTAAATACCGGCCCTAAAAAACCATCCGCAGAACAACTTGAAGTTATTTTACAAACGCTTGCTGACGACGTGAGTTGATCTGTCGTTTCTGTGGGAACTTCGATCTCTTTTAGTCTGTCTGACAAAGTGTCACATATCAATTCACAACTGTTGAAAATTTCAGGATTACGGAAGAGCTTTTGGAATTCTGTTGCCTATCTTCAGAAAAAATTTTCTATAGATAATCGATTGCTATCTCGTCTTGCGAAGTTCTCCTGTAATTTTTTCTACATTCGAAACCCATTTTTAGTAAGAGCATTTTGTGGAAATTTCAAGTCGCTTTCATACTGACAGATCCTTCATCCGCTTGATCATGTACGTTATTACATATGCCGCATTTATTTAGTCTTCGATGACCTACTTTTATTCAAGCAGATGTTTGACGATTTCTTCTCTCTTTTTCAGTTGCCGAACGTCTTCGTGAAGCCGTTGAATTTTAAAATTTACCATCCAGATATCATTTTTGAAAATCACATAAGGAACACATGCACGACGTAAGATGCATTTTTAAATTTCCAGACGTGTTCAAGCCCTGTTACAAGTATCTCTGTTCACTCCTCGTAGGGGTATTGTAGCATACTCGCAACAAGTGGGGTTCCTGCGCACTGTCGGTCACTTCAAATATGCCTATGTGAAGTTTGATGTATTAAAAATTACGAAGCACCCTGAAGAAGGAACTGTGAAAGTTCGATGGCGGATTCGCGGCATGACGGGATGGAGAGTCATGGTACTGTTCTGGCGATACAAAATTTTGAGATACCAAAAAATGATGGACGAGCAACATGAAGTGTAAGTGCTTTTGATGTCATCATTCGCTCAACTGCTGGCGAAATACTAAACGTGTTTTGCTCTGCAGATGGCACGATGGATTCTCAATCTTCCACGTTGAGGATGATGGTTTAGTTTCCAAGCACGTAGCTATGAAAGTGAGTCGTTTCGAGCGATTGAAATTGACGTTTTTTGTTTAAAAATACTTTACGGAGTAACCGTCATCATTTTCTGGGGTGTTCACGCACAAGTAAGTGCAGAACTAGTGTTGATCGCACTTTTCTTGGACGATATTCGTGAACGATTTTGTTGGTACCGCAATAACCTTGTCTCGTGAATGTGTGGTTTATCCTTGTGTGATGTATGCTATTAATTTAGTTGTTCGCAATTTTCAGTTTTTTCCCTATTTTCTTCTTTTATGGATTTATCTAAATTGATTACCCAACTTTTCTGTTATGCCCTTCGTTCAATAACGTCTCAATCTCGAACTTGACCAAAGCTCAGCTGAATTATAACGAACGAATCGTAGCAACTTCAGACGAGTTCTTCATCAGATATTGTAATTCGTTCGTTGCATTTCTCCGATTGAAAAGAAAACTTCTTTATGCGTGATTTTCAGGGGAACCTTTCTATTTATGCTCAACTTGCGAATGGATGTTTCGATTTCGATTTTTGTAGTTTATGCCAGACGACGAATCGGAAAAGGTGAACAAAAGCAGCATTGGAACTGCACTGGCAGCCCTGATTGGTCTCGAATTAGCACCTCGTGAATTTGCCCTGGAAGGTCTATCAAACGGTGCGCTTTTGTCCACAAAGAAGGAGCTCTGCGAATCCTCAAGCCCGAAAGCTCCACAAGATGCTTCTGAAGATCAAGGGAGATGTTCTGAAGGGCCTGGTTGTCGCCTGTGTTTGTGAACGTATCGACCTTTCATGGTTTTCGTCAAAGCGCCGAAGTTTTCGGACGGGAATCATTAAGAGCCATTTGGGATAGTTTTTTGTTCAATTTTGGTCCTTGCATTCTTGGTGCTGAAATGCTTTACGAAGAATGTTACGGCGATTTATTCGCGTTGCGTGCGCAGATTTCATCTTTGATTTTGTCTTTGTATGTGTCGCTAATAATGCCTTGTTTTGTTTTTCGTAGGAATAAGTCTGAGTGCAAATTGTCCCGATTTTATTGTCTTTGTGAATCACCTACGAAGGAAACATCATGCCGAGGGGTGAGATTCTCTCAAAAATTCATTCCGTTCATATCTGTAGTTTTTTTTTTTTTTTTTTAGGACGCGGTGGTGGTGGCCGTGGGCGTGGCCGAACATTCACTAGTCCCGAAGAGTTGGAGGAACAACGTAAGAAAGAGCTTCGTCAAAAGGAATGGAGGGTACGTTTCGAATCATCATTGAATACAGTACAGTACTGTATAGAGGTTTCTATGGAACCCTGCGGAATTTAGAAATTTAAGTCCTTCTACACAAGACGACTTCGCACAACATTCATTTCGCCCATGCGGTTTACTTTACATGCGCCATTTTCGAATCAAATTCTGTTTACTAATGAACCTTCGCCTTTTTTTTTTTTGTTGCGATAACGCTTTTACTCTTCTGACATTCTTTGAAGGCAAAGCGAGGAGAAGAAAGTGAATCCGACGAAGAAGGCAGTGCAGACGGATCCGATGAAAGCAGCGAAGAAAGCAGTGAGGAGGAGGAGGAGGAAGGTGTACCCAAAGTAGGTGGATTGATTTTCCGTTCGGGGTGACTGAAGTTTTGAGCCAAAAGAAATTCTTTTTCGAGTCGGAAAAGGTCCGAAGTAGTGAAAAACTGGAAAGGCTTCTCCTCTGTTTTGAAAAATAATTTTCTCTTGGCTTTGGCTAATTCAATAAAAAAGATGTCATTGTGTGTGACAACTGCTCTTCACTTGCATCAACTTTCAAATTTCACAATTAAATTTTGCTTGCAAATGCAAACCATGTATGTGAACTTATATCATAATTCCTACGATTCGTCGATGTACTTATGGTTGTACCGATTTTCTGCACTAAGAATTCCTGAAACTCGTCCGTACTCCCAGCGTAGAGAATTTAACTGTTTTGATTCGCAGAAATTTCGCTTCTGGGTCCATTATTTTGTGTACAATACTTATTCGTCATTTATTCATTTTTTGCAGGAGGAGAAAAGGAAAGGCGTTTCCGGCTTGATCGAAGTGGAAAACCCGAATTATGTAGCCCCCAAGTTCAAGAAAGTCTCCGCCCTGGACACGCCTGGTGAGGCCGCTGGTGAAGCTCGCGTTGAAGGAGGGGCAGTTCAGCTGTCGCGTCGGGAGAGGTTAGAACACCGAATGGATCAGAATTACTATACAGTATTGTGAACAATATTAATGCATTACGCGATACTGGAGAAATCACCGTACGCTGCTGTGGTGCATTCTGCATCTCCTCTGAATACCTTCTTTCGTTGATGCTAGGAGAGCTGCGCACTTCGTGTGATTTTAAAGACATAGTGAATGTTTAGCGTTGAAGCTAAGATCGTCGACTTGAGTGCGATTTTTAACGATCCTCGATAATAATTTCAAAGCAGAATAGCTACAGGATTTTAGAACTCGATGTTCAATTTCCTACTGCCTTTTGCATTTTTTTCAGGAAATGAGGTTATTTTCCCAATTTTTTTCCAGAGAGGAACTCCAGAAACAGCGGGCTAAAGCTCATTATCAAAAGCTTCACCTGGAAGGGAAAACAGAAGAAGCCCGCGCTGATCTTGCGCGGTTAGCTATAATACGTAAGCAGAGGGAGGAGGCTGCCAAAAAGAAGGAGGAAGAACGGAAAGGTGAGAAATAAATCATTTAATTCGATGATCAATTTTTGGTGATCTAGATAATCAATTTTCCACAGCGAAAGAAGCAGCCGAGAAGGCGTCAAAGGCCAGTTGATTCTCTTTTTGTGGATTGGCTCTTCGTGCAAGTGGACTGTCGCCTACATTCGTGTCCTGCTTTCAACCCCTGTTGTGCAGCCTGAAGTTACTCCATCCAGTTCCTGGCATTTTCTTCTGTGAAAGGCTTATCCTTAGTGATTATTTCTCTGGTTGATCTTCCGTTGTTGAGAAAGTGAGCCATGATTTGAAATCACTTGCCAGTGGGGTTGTTTTTCACGCAGTGCATGAGTTTGATTGGCAGAACTGATGATAAGCGACAAATGTGAGATGGATTGGTCTTGATTATCAACTTGGTTGATTAATACATTGAAAGGCTTGAAAAAATTACATAATTTTGCTTTCATGAACCACGTTTGATTGAGCAGTGAAGTGCGCTTCTTCCTGGAAATTTTCCGCTGCACGATATAATTATGTTGAGGTATATGGAAATCACCAGTTCGGAAATTTGAACACGAACGCTTTTGAACTTTCATGTCGAAAGGTTTAAATTTATGCGTGTAATTTATGTGTGTGATTCATGTTTGAGGTCGACTTTAAAAAAAACGGATGCGCGTCCGGTGTGAAGGAAGGTGATCCGCAGATGGACGACCTGGTCAAATTCAAAATCCGGTGTACTGTACACTTCTTTTTTCCGTCGCAGAAATCTAATCTAATGATGAAACATTTCAATCCTGTACTGTTAATGTTTAGTAGAGTATTTCATTTAGTACAGTGCGGTAATTATAAAAGAAGCCAGAGGTATGGGTAGTTCTGAGACAAAACTGGAGGGTTAATTGTTCTTCGGTTAAGAACTGGATTGGTTGGCGTACTGAAATAAAATTTTTTATCCTATTCCTGCGTACAAAATCAAATACCGTTTCTGATATTCTGAAGTTGAATTTTTATTGCAAAGAGCAAACTCTTCGTCTCCAAGGCTTTCAATGGATATTCTTCTCAAGCATTTCCTGTGACAACCTTTGTTGTGATCTACTTTCAGGGATGAGATGAGTAAAACTCGGGTTGGCTTATATTCTGTTTATTTCCTATCAGCACAATTCTTGCAAATGAAGTTAATTTTTTGTGAGGCCCACCACAGGCTATCCTTTCAGAGGGTGTTGACGGTCACTGTATTTTAGTGGATCAATGCTGAGATCATAAAGCCGAAAAGGTCATCCAAGCATGGCAATTATGACAAAGCTTATTTGTAAGAACTGATGTGTAAAGAAAATGACTTCACAATCTTGCACCAATTCTTGAGCATTTGAGTTGATCATTCGCATTATGCAGTGGCAGGATCGGTAATGCCAAGGTTTACGACGAATACTTTATTGAAAACAATAATTTTCTATTATATGTATGGGATAATATCACTGCTGATGGCTGAATACTCTTGGTGGACTAGCTCTCTGCAGTTACTGGAATTGAAATTTTTATCGTTAATTATATCTTTATATCTCACATCTAAAATAAATGAAAAAGCTCCGCAAACGGTACTTCGGAAGAACAAAGAATGCGATATGATCTTAGATATAGTCTTCCATTTACAGTATTTAGTAAAAGTTTGCAGCAGGTGGAATTCCAGTGATAACCAAATTATGCAACTGGGAGCAACATCCAGCTAAACCTAGTCACCTCGCGTCACAGTTATAAGAGATAACTGTGAAATCCAGTACAGTGTACGCATGTACGGTAAATAAAGGAGGAAAGCAGGAAATGAGTAATTATTGTTCCCCCCTTCAACCTCCCTATTTTACTGATCCGACACCATTTTCGCGCTCTTTTCGCCATTGTCGTTTTATTTTTCCGAATGTGACAGAACTGACAGCGAGCCATTTTTGTGGATTTTATGCGCACACAACGTATTCAAATTCAAGAATACATCGATGCACATCTCATGATGACGGCGTTCATGTGCACCTCTTTATGATGCTTTGTGGAATTGACTTGCCCAGTAGTTGTTTTTGATAAACTCCAACAAGCAGCCAAAGTTACATTACAAAAAGCTGATATATATGCTCCAAGTGACATTTATTATAATGCACTAATCTTTTTATAAATTTATGTTAGCCCTGAAATTCTTTGAGACTTACTCATGAATTTATTACAGGCATTCATTTGTGATTTTTCCGTGGACTCATACAAATCACATTTCTGTTCTGCCTAAATTAGCTTTGCCCTACACAAGCCGCAAGGAACACTCCAAGATGTTCACTTCGCACACCCAATTCCCCGTCGATGAATTTTACAAGCTCCGTTCAACAGCCGAGTTTTCGGGAGTGTAGTGGGACCCTACCCTGTTTACTAGTTCAACTGAAGTCGATGATGGCAGGTGTTTCACACTTATGCCTTTTCTCCACGACCGCGATTCCGGTTTATCGTTCTGGTTTTTCGCGGATACTGCGGTTGAAATTATTTCCTTGGCGATATCTGTGAAACCTATTTTTTATTGTGTCATTCGTGTAGTTGTCAGGGCCTCAGCAGTTGGTTGAACAAAATGTCTAACGCTGCACCAAATCCCTCGGCTCTTTTGCCGCTCGGTAAGAAAATTCGAACTATTAATTAAACAATATGAATATGCGTGTCAATATCCGTTGTCTTCCATTCAGAATTGGTCGACAAATGCATTGGTTCCAGAATTCACATCATCATGCGGAACGACAGAGAAATTGTCGGAACCCTTCTGGGATTCGATGACTTCGTTAACATGGTTTTGGAGGATGTGTTAGAGTATGAGACGACTGCCGAAGGACGTCGCATTAACAAGCTTGATCAAGTTCTCCTGAATGGAAATAACATCACGATGGTGATTAATTATTGACATAATACCTTGACCATGTAATTGATTACGATGATTTTCCTCCTAGTTGGTTCCTGGTGGAGAAATGCCGGATGCCCCAGAAACCGCCCACTGATCTCGTTTTCACCGCGATTTCCTGTCTGTTTTTAGTTTTATGTCAATGAAACAAAAGCTATTAAAATTCATTGAGAAATTAAAATCACGGGTGTATATTGCAATTGTTTTTGCAGAAAATCTCCCCAATATTACCTTTTACATATATCTTGCGATTTCTAATTTCTGTGAAACAATGAGTGGTTACGGTGTAGTTATCGATGGTATGACAGCTACGAAGAAAGGCAATAACGATTCTAATGCCTCGAAAGGTATGTTCATCCCTCAACGCATTGGTTTCCATAATGTGGCAGGATTTTCTGATTCCTGGCGTTTAGAATCTGTCACAGAAGACGAGTTGCTGGTGAAAGGGTCTGTCACCCCGAATGATGTCCTAAGGCTGGGAAAAGTAACCGCCAGTGAGTTGAAACTGGCTTTTGAATGAAATTAAATCATCCCATACTCCTATGCGTTTCTATATGATTTGTGCCCCTTTGGCAGAATATCTGTGTGGAATGGACGCCAATACGTACGGAGTTGACTTCACCCGCTTCAAGATCCGGTGCATGGATACGGGTGTCGTTTTGTTTGAAATTTCCAAGCCTTGTGAGTGAATCTGTGATCGAATCGGTAGAATTTGGAGAAATAATGCATTTACCTTTTAGCTTCGGATTATGCGGTCCCGGCGATCAACGTGGATGATGATTTAGAAAGAGGAGCCTCTCAGGACAGGGAATGCACTGCCGGGCGTTATGTACGATACCAGTTCACTCCAGAGTTCCTGAAGTTCCGACGCATCGGTGCAACGTGAGTTCTAACAATTCTGAAATGTTCAGTTCATTCTTATTTATTCAACAAGAACATGCCGATTTCCTTAGGGTTGAATTTGCTGTGGGAGATAAACCTGTCAACAACTTTCGGATGATCGAAAGGCATTTTTTCCGAGACCGACTGTTGAAAACTTTCGATTTTGATTTCGGATTTTGTATTCCGAACTCCCGTAACTCATGCGAACATATATACGAGATGCCCGAGCTGGATAAAAATTTGAGTGAGTATACGAATGTTTCCGCTGCATTTCTCTGAACTGCCATGAATATCTTCTCGTGTGTATTTCTTCAAGAAATGATTCTTGTCATCGTCTTCGCAGTTTTGAGTTCAACGGAACGTTGCGATAACCGTAGAAAAATCCTTTGTCTCTGACTGTAATGATTAGGATTAAACGCCTTAAAAATTGTTCTTGTGTTAGTGTGTTCGAGAATCCTACGTTATGGGATGAGTTGATCATTTGCAACCTTGCCTAATTTTTGCCAAATTATTTGAGAACGATTGATGGGTTTTCGACGAGGTTATAACGTTTGTTCATTTTTTCATCTAGTGCAAGAAATGATTGCGAGCCCGTTTGAAACAAGAAGCGACAGTTTCTACTTCGTGGGAAATGAATTGATAATGCACAACAAAGCGGACTACGCATACAATGGCGGAGCTAATATTGCCGGCCCAAAGCATGCTCTTGATTAGGTTCGCTTTGCGAGCGAAGTTCTGTCCTTTCACCAGATTTTTCGTTGGACAGAATCTTCAATCGATCCACAACTATCTTAAGTCAAATTGTGTGATGAAAAACACGGATTACATGTCTTTTTTTCCTAGATGTGACCTTTTAATTTGCGGAAATGAAGAAATTGAATGAAACCTTGTGATTGCACGTGGTAAAGATTTGTGTAGCTGTCTCCCGGTGCTTGCTCAGATTGCCATGAGTGGATGTATTTTTAAAGTTTTGAGAAACAATCACGTTTTGGAATTGGTTAATTTGGAAATGGTTTTTGTTTATGCCACGTCAGTATTCATTTCAAGTGAGCACATGCGATTTCGAATCTCTTTTTTTGTTATATATCTGCGCGCGTTGAATCGGAGGCGTGCCTTGCGGATTTTTGTTTTGCTATTGAAGGACTGAGCGCCGTGACCAACTACACTGATGAGTGATCGACGTTGTATATGTGTTGATCGTTGGGAATTTGTGAACATTCGGCACATTTGTACTGCATTAAAGTTCACGGTGCACTCTGCTGAAAGCGTGATTATTTTTTGAATCATTCGTTAAAGACCTCGCTTTTTATCTAATTACGCGTGGACCAACTTCGGATCAGTAGCTTCAGAAACTCTGATGCATCTCTTGTTCAAAACTGAGCTCGTTTCTCCTGAGTTCACCATACAGTACTGTATTTCAAATACTGTACAGAACATGTACAGCACTGTACTCCGAACCCTATCATACCTCAAGTACAATGAGCTGAAAGGGTAACTTTCGGCTAGCACGCTTGCGGTTGATGTCGGGACTTCACGCGAAATCAGAATGGAAAATTACTGTAATTTTAATGGGTTGTCATTTTGATTGATCTAATGCACGTGGACTCCCTAAAACAAAATTCAATGGACCAGAAACAAATTGTACAGAACTCCTATCAAATGGGTACAGAAACTTATGAGGACCATAAAACATCAATTATAAACAGAAAATTGTCCCAAAGAGTACGTCTACCTGTGCATGCTTTTTTCATACCCGGAGTCCATTCAAAGATTGCTTGGTGGAAACAGAATGCCTCTCAAGAAAGTACATGTGGACTTGGTCTACAGTATAATTCAAGGGACCGGAGAAAATTTGTTGTACAAAGAATTTAATTGTGGAGTACACCTACGTTATTGGAAGATAGCCCTATGTGCCCCTATGGGACCAAAAATAATATTTGTTGCAAAAATAAAATTGTTGCAGACAGAGAGAGTCGACCTGTAATATAAAAACATCCTCTTCATGATTTAGTCTGATAACAAGCTCTTGCTATTTTTTCTTACCAATTTTGATGTTAAATTCTGCTGAGAAAAGGTCACTGATTAGCGTGAAATCCATCTGCTGTGTGTAAAAAAAAATTATTTGATGTCCCTCTTAGATTTACTCTAGACTTGTAAGAATGTCAAACCAGAAAGCGTAAATTCTCACATATTTTTCTAAGCAATACCTTGAAGAAATGCAGACTAGACAGTAATTATTTTGTGTTAGAGTATTTGTCGCATGAATTGGTTCAACAATTGCAGGTAAACACCATTTCTGGTATTAAAAAATATGGTGCACATTATTTTTGGTACGGTATATGTTCAATAAGCATATAATCGGTACTTCAAATTTCCGCAGTACTGAAATGTTGGGTAAAGCACTCAATTAAAAAACAGTTTGGTACCATTTCGTTTTCAAAAAAGACGTCTGGTTCACATGTATTTATTGAACCTACATTTAAGCCGAATTTTCTATTAAAATATATCTGGATCGAATGTTATTAATTAATAAACTGTAGTCATATTAACGACCACAACACCCTTCACTTTACGCATTCATACCCGGAGTCCATTCAAAGATTGCTTGGTGGAAACAGAATGCCTCTCAAGAAAGTACATGTGGACTTGGTCTACAGTATAATTCAAGGGACCGGAGAAAATTTGTTGTACAAAGAATTTAATTGTGGAGTACACCTACGTTATTGGAAGATAGCCCTATATGGGACCAAAAATAATATTTGTTGCAAAAATAAAATTGTTGCAGACAGAGAGAGTCGACCTGTAATATACAGAAAATCCTCGGCATGATTTAGTCTGATAACAAGCTCTTGCTATTTTTTCTTACCAATTTTGATGTTAAATTCTGCTGAGAAAAAGGTCACTGATTAGCGTGAAATCCATCTGCTGTGTGTAAAAAAAAATTATTTGATGTCCCTCTTAGATTTACTCTGGACTTGTAAGAATGCCAAACCAGAAAGCGTAAATTCTCACATATTTTTCAAAGCAATACCTTAAAAAAATACAGACTAGCCAGCTGTTGACTGTAATTATTTTGTGTGAGAGGATTTGTTGCGTGAATTGGTTCAACAATTGCAGGTAAACACCATTTCTGGTATTAAAAAATATGGTGCACATTATTTTTGGTACTGTATATGTTCAATAGGCATATAATCGGTACTTCAAATTTCCGCAGTACAGTACTGAAATTTTGGGTAAAGCACTCAATTAAAAAAAAAGTTTGGTACCATTTCGTTTAAAAAAAAAACGCCTGGTTCACATGTATTTATTGAACCTACATTTAAACCGAATTTTTTATTAAAATATATGTGGATCGAATGTTATTAATTAATAAACATTCCTAAACCCATGAACCAAATTTAAAATAAAAGGTTGTCCATTCCGAGCATGTACAACCAAGCAAGTTATTCATTCAAAAAAGCATCCAAAACCATTGTAGCCCTGTTCTGAATTGTCATAATTCAACTTTCAAATATTGCACTGTCGTATGCTGCTGCAACTGACATCCTGGGAAAATAAACATGCACGGATCCGTACCGATTTCCTCTACCGAAGCTCCGTATGCAGCACTTGTTTATTACCATCTTTTTTTTCTCCAGCTTATTATTGGGGCAACCCGGGTCTGCTCCATAAAAACGAGTGCCCCCAAGATTCAACATTCCTTTCCGGCCGTGAACCCGAGTGCTGGTCGCGTTCCGTGCTGACACCTTGGCCTCTTTGTGCATGACCATGCGTCGAGGTTTGCCAGCATTTACAGTATTTTGAAAAGTACGACTTAATGCTTTCCACAAAAGAGAACAAAAATACAGCATACACTTTGTAGACAGCATATATGTGTACTGTATATATGTTTCTATTTCATGCAATATGAACAATAATACGAGCTGTTCTCTTTTTACGTTTGACGCGCGCTTTCTGGAAAGTAAATGTCGACCGACGAGGTCCGACACCGTACAATAACTCGTTTTTTACGGGAATAAGCTAGGTCTTACATTATTCATTTTGCAAGACCTATATACGAGTATTAACAGCTTCCGTGAAGCTATAAGTTACGCCAGTGAATGTGATCGCGAAAAAACATACAGTATTTTTGTCCTTGAAGATTCCAGCAACCAAAAAGCACGAAAAACGGTGAAGCTATGTAACCTATGGTTATTTTGAGATATATTTTGATTTATTATTAATTTATTTGGAATATAAGCTGTAAAAAGAGAAAATTTCCATTATCCATTCGCAAAAATTTGTTCCAACATTTGCAATTCATTTTGATAAATAATATCACCCTTTTTTTTACCGCGAGGAGCGCTGCAAAAATCTACTGGATTCTTTTAAAATAACGTTCCTTGAAGATGCTGGACGCGTCCTGTGGTGAAATGAATCGACAATATGTACTGCATATGACTGGATACCATGCTTCAATAATTCGTATTTTATTATTTACCGTAATTTAAAATCTTTTGGAAGATCAATGAGGTCCTCTATTTATTGCACTGCATCATAGAATCTCTGCGGATGTTGCCTGGAAATTTTTCGATCGGTATAATTTTCAAATACTGTACTGTACAGCAGCACTACCGTAGCTCATATGTGTCCTAGGAAAATGAGCATTTATCTCTCCGGATTTCCTTCATCCAAAGTTATATATATTGTACTGTACAGTATGTACACGCGTTCAATATCCCGTATACTACCTAACGTATGCACACACCTTTTCAGAACCCGGCGGACTTGTCTCGCGTATATTGTACTGTACTGTAGTTCGGATCGCTTCTTTCCTGCAGCTGCATGATTGCGGCACAAAACGCAAGCGTTTCAATTGATCTTGGGAGAGAAGTGCATTGCGCTCTCCGCGACAGATACTCCGAATCGCGGTTCGCGCTCCACACCCTGTCCCGAGAGGGAAGGCGCGCCAGTCGCCCGCTCTTTCTCAGGGTTATCTTCCTACTAAGCGCCGGGATCCGCGCGCGCGTATCCAGTCGGCGGACAGCACAGCAGCGCCACGGCGGGAGTCCTTCCAGAGAGAGAAAGAGAGAAGGAAATACAGAAAGTGCCTGATTGAATTACGTCTCCGTGTCGAAGTACAATATACCGTAGTTATTCACTTATTCTTCCATTCACCGCATTTGCGCGATTATATGAATGAGACTCTTACCTGCTTGGAAATAAATTGTAAAAGCGGAAATTTTGGAGAAAGAAATAATGCCACGTGAAAACGGGTATTCTACGACGTGATCAGTGAACCTTTCACCCGCAAAATCTCACAGCGATAAAGTTATTGACGATAGTGTAAAATGGCTTGCTCCATCTTTTAATTCAATTTAGCCAAAAAATAGGGAACTCGAATGTTGGTCGCATTCTTTGAGTGAGTGTGGCCTAGCGCTATAGCGTATACAGCGTGTTGAACCTGGATATACTGTATCAAACTTCTATTTATTGTGTCATGTTTTTTTCGAGTCTCTATGTCTGAATTCCCTGAGAAACATTGAATTAAAAACCTCCATAACTTGAAGGTTTTTCCCCCAAGACTTCCTTCAGTTAAATTTTCTCAGGTGTTTCTGGCCATTATTTTATTATATTTTGACCCGAGGTAGAGAATAAAAGCAATAAGAATGTAACAATGAGCTTTGAAAGTAAATGAAAAACTCATTGAACAAACAAACCTTCGCCTCCAAGTTCCGGCATCCTGTCAACTAATCGTTCAAGAAGCAATTCAAGGCCCAGAATATCGCTGATCATGATTTCCTGCAATTATTTTTTTCCTGAAAAAAACGCGTGTTTCCCAAACCGGAAACCTCCATAACTCAAATTTTTTTGCTAGTGCAGTATTGAAGTTCGACTTGAAAAGATGTTTGACTGTGTATATATATACAGTACATTATAATATGAGCACAGTGATCATATAGGAATGAAAAGGCTGCCTTTAATTGAGGAAATGGGTATCGAACGGGAGCTATATGAAGTTTTATATACAGTACTGTACGTACTACAATATATATAATGCATATATAGATAACTTGATCGCTTCGTTTCTTCCAAGTACAGCACTGCACTGTATACTGTATCTCCATGCCCGCGAGAAGTGGTCTACTGTACTGTTCCACCGATGTCTGGTGAATCGGCCGAGTGAACCTTTCGGGCGCGCAGCGGACACGTTTACAGCGCAGTAAGTCCCACTTCTTCTTGGGGAGCGTCGTACAGTATATATATACTTAACGTTTTTCCAAGCCTCCGCTTATTGTCGCGATGGTGCGACAGGATTACGACGTGGTCGATTATTCGCAGCCCCCGCGAAGTGGTACTGGGAGATGTGAATTCCCGGAAGAACCAACGAACGGTGACGTTATGTACGAGAACTCTTCTGAGCGCGACAAACTCAGTCCGGTTCCGGTTCCCGACGTCCGCATTGACACACCGCTGCAGTTTCGGCGTTCGCCGTCGAAGCGAAGTCCGTGTTGTGGACTGAGTTTATGCGGGAAGATCGTTCTCGCGGTACTAGTGGTTATCGTACTGGCGTTGAGTGGGTGCGTAGTGTGGCTAAGTTTGGAGTACTTCGGGCGGCGGACGCTTGATGTTGACCGGACATGCATGGAACCCGAATGTCTCCGAGCGAGTGCTATGGTGAGTTTTGCGTCTTGTGAACTTTGAGTGCTGGTCGTGAAATGGCGACTCCATCACGAAATGAATTCGGGTGAAAATTAGCGGGGAGAAAAAAACACAGTCGAACCTCGAGGTTTGTGGCTGTTTAACGGGGTTGGGATTTTATAAAAAAAATAGCCGAAATACCATGAAAATTAGTTATACCGTATACTGTAATAGGAAATCAAATTACTTTTCTTCTAGAAAACAATCAAAGTAACCTTCAGATGCATATATAAATTATATCTATAGCTAATGTTCCAAATAAATAAATTAGGTTCTTTTGTGTTTGAGTGTGTGTTTTTGAAACTTGGAGAGTTCTCGCAGAAACTTGCATTTTCTTCGAGGGCTATCAACGACAAAATTAATTGAAATAAACATACAATATTTGATTTTTCAATAATTTTGGCGTATGACGGATTGCGTTTTAATGAGTTTTCTAATGCTTCTATCATTGTGGAAGATTTAGTCTTCAAAAGAAACTGGCGGTAGCCGAGGGCGGGTTCTTAACGGGGTTTTGAATGTATTGTACTGTACCTGAACAAGGGTAACATTTTTCACTGAATCGCGTTTGTGCCTTTCTCGAGCTTCTGTTTTGTTTTCTCGAGTGCAGTGTAGTACAGTTTGAAGAGTGCTGTACATGACCTTATAATACACTCCTGTTCAATAACACCAGGATATGTTTATAATTACTGTATATGTAGTAATGCCCAACCTGCTTTCTGTGACGTCATTCATAAAATTATCGAAGCGTTCTTCGTGGTTTTGATCGATTGATTCACACTGATCAAAGCAGGCCAAGATAGGAAACTTTTGAAACTTCTTCGTGCACTCAACGAGGGCTGCTGGTCGTAAGATAGCGACAAAAATGACACATACTAGCTTATACTGGATACAGTATAATTCTCGTCTCGTTCGAAACTTTTTCTGTCTTTTTCACGAGTTTTTTTTAGCTGTTAAGTACTGTATACAGAGATTGAACGAGCACGTTTCAGAAATGTTCTGCATGCTGAAAAGCTGTTCAATGACTATATTTAATCCACCGGAAGTTGCAAAATAAGGTTGAATATTCATAATAATTGAGGCGTTCCTGACGTAAAAAATATGCGTATCAATAATCCATGTACTGTACTGCAACCACGCAATACTTGAGAAAACCGAAGACAAACAACGAAAGAGATGAAAATGGGAATACTATTAAATTTGTTACAGCAAGAATCCCCTGTACAGTATGATGTTCAACGAATATGTAAGAAATCAGAATTAAAAATGGTGAATATTCATAATAATTTGAGCATTTATATTGCGCGAAAAGGTACGTTTCAAACTTTCAATCGCAAGTAGAATAAAGTAGAAAAAACTTCTTCAACTGGCGCATTGAAAGATGAAGACTGTATTCTGAGCAAACAAACATTTTCAAGTTGACTTTTTATATACCTGTACTCGTATTCCACGATAACTCTGCATGTAACTTCTGATATTGTAACTCTTCAGATAACGCCTTTTCTGATTTTACTTCTAAATTTGTTGTTGTTGACAGAATCCAGTAATGAAAACGAATGCCGTATCCCTATAGGCGTTCATCATGTGTTGTTCGTGCTGAAAGTCGAATGTGTGAGGGGAATTTGACGGGGGGTGGATTAAATTCCACAGAAATTCTTTTCTGAATATTAAATCTATAAAAGCTTAGAATTTGAAACATGTGTCTATGATATTGATGTTCCATTTGATATACAGTGCAGTACTGTATTTCGAATACTTTGAACCTGCACTGAAACAAAGACACGTAATTCGTGACCTCTTACGCCTGCATTCTGATTTTCTCCGCAAAAACATGATACTGTACTGCATTGTTTTGCGTGAAGGTCGCTTATGGCGTTCAAGAAATTGAAATGAAATGTTGAGAGTATTTTCTATTGGCTCATCTTCATTTCTCTCTTTTATTTTTTATTAGCTGCGAGGCAGTGTCAACACAAGCGTGTCACCTTGCGGAGGCGTGTGGGAATTTTCTTGCGGAAAATGGCTGTTGAATAACCCGATTCCCCCGACGAAGTCGAGATGGGGAGTTTTTGACAAGCTTCGTTATCAAGGTACGCCGTATTGATGGAATTTCGCCCGACGCTTCATACAAGAGAAGGAGCAAATTGGAAAAAAAAAATGTGGAAAAGGTTTTTGAAAGTTGATGGGATTTCTTTTCTTTTTTTCTTTCTTCGAAATTCTGTACAGCTACCGAAGAATACCGATCGATAGTGAACACGCTGCCGCAGCCTCTCGAGGCGGATCAATTGCCTTGGAAGCTGAAGCACTTTTACGACTCGTGCATGGATTTAGACAACATCAACATTGATAAGGCCAGTCAGCTACTATTGGAAATCAAACAGTTCGGTGAGTGTATAGTTTCCGGCTTTTCCCTGTCCTTCGTTCGAGTCATCTGTCGTTTATTTTTTTTACGCCATATCATTTTTACGCGTTCGCGAATCTCGTTTCGGATTATGTTTAGAACTGTTCGAGGGCCATTTTTGATTCAGGGGAGTGAACTTTTATGTTTTTATCGAAGTCTCTGAAAGTTCCATGTATGTAGGATGAAGAAAATTTTGAAATTACAGTACCTGGAAAAGCTGACGATACTGGCGTTTACCACTCGAATTTCTCTTGTATACGCGGAAATAATTGAATACTGTACGGGTAAGGTTACATTTCGAGGTTGGGATTTTGCAGTGAACTCATTTTGAGTTTAAAGATCTACATTTTGAGCTTGAACTACGCGGAATTGACGGTTTTGATCTTGATTTTAGACTCCATGCGAGCCAAGAGAAAACGTTTTCTCCATTAAGCTGGTTGAAGTTGCATATTGTATTTGAAATAAAATCTGCGCCCTGAGAGTAAATGAGCGTCTATTAATAAAAATCTCGATTTCATTTGGAAGCGAAAACCCCTCCGTGTTTTCTTAAAATGTTGACGTACACGAGGTTAGTCAGTGACTTGAAATTAAAAGAACCGTTTTCGAGATTTAGGGCATTAATTTTTCAACTTGCAATTTTTAAAATCGATCAAAACCGTTATGAAATGTTTTTAGTTTGGTTAGAAACTTGGGTCATTAAACTGTATGATCAGACGAATTTGAATTTTGTGAGAAAAACCATGAGGTACTCGCAAACGTGAGGATCAAATCTTGTATTTTGAGCGATTAAAATACCTTTTAATAACATGGTATGAACTGATGTTTTTTTTGTCTAGGAAAATCGCTTCAAATTTCGATGTTACATATACAGTATATATATGCAGCAAAAAAAATTTGTAACTGTCTTTAAAAGAAGCTCTTGGAAAATAAATGTATTCATGATCTCCGTTGAAGCGTGTAGAAGAAGCTCATTCCCCTACATTGTTATTCAAAATTTTTGGTTTCCAAAGAATCTGTACTATCATGATTAAATTTGGAGTTGAAACAAAACTTTTCCTTCTCAATAGAAAAAAATAAAATTCTGCTTCGCGAAAGTTTTTTTCAGGGTTTTAATTCCGACTACGATTCTTGATATGAATGTCCTTGAGGTGAAGTTGATAAGAAAAGAACGAACAATAAAAAAAAAGGTCAGGAGGAGACGGAAAATGTACTGAGCATTGTGATGCTCACGCACGCACAAAACTGCGTTCGTAATCGCGAGTCTCCTGCCGCCGCTGTCGGTCGGTCGGTCGGTCGTCGTCGTCGTTGTCGTTCGTTCGTTCGACACTCGCGTGTCGCAAGTTGAGAGAGATTATTCATGAGTCAGTCGCGAACCAGTTCTCTCCGATTCTCTCCTTGTGTACGAAGTCCGCTTGGCAATCGAATCGTCGACTCTCCGGATTGAACGTGGGTTTTCTTTTTTTCTTTCTTTCCTTTCTTCCTTACTTTATCAATGCTCCTTTTAACAATTACGGTATCAAGGTTTCAGCACCGCGTGCAGGCGGGAACAAGCGCTGTTTATTTTAACTAGGTAACTTGCGCGTATCTTAAATTGATTCCAAATGTGCGAAGGGATCGGATCGCTTTTATAATACGTTCGTTAGCCTACTTTTGCATGTGTGGTTTTCTTTTCGGAAGTTCTATACTTCTCAAGAGCATTGACAGAACTCAGTAAGCAATGATCTTCGGGGAACGGGAAGAATACTGAAGAGACATTTTCTGGTTGATAATGATAGCGGAAGTTTAAAAGAGACATGAGATGAAATCCAGTGGCAAATTTCAAGAAATCTCCGTAATTGAAATTTCTTTCATCGGGAGGTTAGCTTTTATACATGTAAAGGAGGCTACAATAAGCTCATAAAATGATTTCACTGTGGAAAAATTGCGAGTTTTGGGATTGGCATTTTATTTAAAGGTTGTAGAGTGAGTGAGGTAAAGGCTTTATTTGCCACTTGTCAGTGTTCACAAGATTCACAGACCCGTGCTCAGTTACGACTAATTAAAAAGGCTGGAGGATTTGTATAACCAGTGTAAACACTCTCTTCTTTATAAATCGTTCACCAGCAGTCTACGAGCCAAACTTGTCGAGTACAATGAGACCCCAAGATGCGGACATAATTGGTGCATCAAGAGTGTCCCTGGGTCAAAATGTCCCTAAATCAAGTCTCATTTTCCCTGATAGACTTAAATTATATAATTTTCAATTGGTGTTTTATGGACAAAATACTCACCGTAATTCCATGAAAATAAAAATTTTCTTCCAATTTAAACTGATTCCAATATATCAACAAATATTTCAACAAAATACAGGCATTTGGGGAATTGAATACTGACACCTCTGTACAGTACATAGAAATTTTGGCATTCTCTGTAAGAATAGCATTCAAGTGAAAAAGAGAGAAGGAAGTCCCTTTATGCTGGAGGTAATATTTTTAAATTAGCTAAATGGATGATAAATTGGTGAGAGAAATGCCCAAGAATTTTTATTACATCAATTTTAGGGTAAATATCTGTTTCTTGTAATTTGGCATGACATGTATTTGCAATTTATCACAAAATGTCCCTATGTTGAGTCAGTGTCCTCATGTTGGGCCTTTTTTATTAATTTTTCATGGGAAAATAAGTGTCCCTATATCGAATTGTCCACATGTCGAGGTGTACGCAGGTAGGGGTCTCACTGTATATTGTTTAGATTTGGGGGTTTAGAGTTACCTGAAAAAATTGTGCAGGATTTTCTAGACGAGATGCCGAATAAAAATTGGTCATTCCTATGCCTATTGATTTCAGCTTGCTGTCAGAGAAAATAAAAGCTCGAAGCGTTTTGAAAATTCTTGGCTTTTCGAATTAAGAATCAAGTAATTAGAAAATATGAATCAATTGCTTATTTTTTGTGCTTGAACTTTCTTGGCGAAATTGGGAAAGCTGAGCTTTTCTTTCTCTCTGCACTGTTTGAAGTCCCCACTTTTCTACGCGGAACCCCCATAAAAAAAGCTTATGATTGCGAAGTACGTATCCTTCTTTGGTAAATACCTGTATGAGCTGTTCGAGAATGATTTTAATGAGGCAAGCTTCTGAATGAAGTACTGGCTGTAGTCATATTTTTTTCCTCTCGAGAAAACTGTCCACGCTGTCTTCGTACAGTTATTGAAGTAACACAATGCCCCGAGGCATAAACAGATAAATTACCAGCTGTCTGAAGTCCAATCACGCAGCGCAGGTACTCGAAACTAGGCCGTGCCTCGCGTGTGACGTCGACTGCTGATGCTGATTCTCGTCACTAACGAAGCAACAGGTTTTTCTCTCTTTGTTGATCTCCATGCTTTTGTCCCATATAAGTACAGTATAAGAGAAACCACTTGGGAATAGTCGAGAGAGCGGGGATTGGATTCCGTGCCTCCGTGACAATACAGCTGGGAAAAATTCCCAGTAAACGAGAAGACTGTACTAGTGTACTGTATAGAGAGAATTACTTAATGTGCAGGATGTTTGAACACCGGCGGAAAAATGCATGAACCTATTGTATAGCTGATATGGGCTCACTGTAGTTTAAACTACTATTGAAAAATTCGTTGCTAGGTAAAGTGACTAAGTGAGCGTGGAAGACCGACTGAGTGACGGAGAGACTGATTAATATTTATGAAGTACAGTGTATTTTAGTGAGAAGAATTTGTTTTACCAACGTTACAGAGACGTGTCGAAAAAGCGATAATGTGGAGGAAAATTGTAAATCGTGATTCAGTCCAAGTTCGGCGCTGAATTTTCAGCGCAATTTTGCATCTGTCTACAGGTGGACTCTCTCTTTACGAAAAATCTTGTCTACAATGATTTTTCTCTGTATAAAATATTTTAATTGGTGCCATAGGATTCTCTCCTCATCTTGCAGTGGTTCTCAGCGACGAAATTCTCTCTAAAACAAATAGTTATGTGGATCTTGAATACTGTTGCAGAGAGAGTTCACCTGTATTCGTAAGATTATAGTTTTCTGTTGCTTGAATTATGCATATTTTTCTGTGGACTTTCTCTTCGTAATTGGATTTTTCCAATACGCAAGATCAGAAGAACTGTGCTTATCAAGTATTCATTCAAAAATCGACTGGAAATCGAGCTACAATTAATTGCATCAATAATTTTCATTTTTATATCTGGAGTTGAAAATGCAGAAAAATCGGCACTAGGACAATGGCATGTAATCGACTTTATTCCGAAATTTGAGAGTCGCGTGGACCAAAGCAACATACTGAAAATAAATGTGATAATTTGAGTTATGAAAGAGGAAATCGTACTTTGAGGCTAAATGTAAGTTCGGCTGCTAGAATCACAGCGGTTGAAGGCATATTTTACTTTTTTAGCGCATTTCATATCCATACTCGAGAGATTATAATTTTCAGGTGCTCGAATAATACTGTACATATTTCTTGTGGACCCTATTTTCATAAATGCTCCAAAATTTAGAAGAACTAGAATTACGACGTGTTAAAATCGATTGAAAATTAGCTGCAATTATAATTGCGTGATTGAGGTTTCTTTTTTTCTGGATTTGAAAGGGAAGAAAAATCGCTACTGGGGTGCATAGCATGAATCAAATTTATTCCGGAATTCGAGAGTCTCGTGGACCAAAGGAATATGCGGAAAAATACTTTTTACAGTATTTCGAGTTACGAAACAGGAACTCGTATTTTGAGGCTTAAAGCAAGTTCGGCTACTAGAAAAATGGCAGCTGAAGACATTTTTTTAAAATTTCTGTTAGCCCATTTCAAGTCTATCCTCAAAGATTAAAATTTTTCTATGCCTGAATCATGAAATTGTTTGTGGACCTTAGCTGTTTGAAAGCGCTCTTTCATAATCGCATTCATGTTCTAAAGAACTTTTATTATAAAACTTTCAGAAATCCAGCCTCGACTATCCGAAACGATGAGCTGAAATTATTTGCATAAATGACAGAAAACAGCGAGTATTCAAATTTATTCCGGAATTCGAGAGAGTCTCATTGACCAAAGCGATGTATACGAAAAAGAAAGTAATATTTTAAGCATCTTTCGCAATATTTCTGCTGCGGGTTCGAAAAAAGCAGTTTCTTTTTTTCTCTTTCGAAGATGCAATCACGCAACGAAACTAGTTCGAGACTGCGCTTGACCGTCTACTGAACCCTTCGGGGAAATCTGCTCTTTCTTTCTGCATCTGCTCAGATACCAAGCAGCGATTTTATCATAGAGCAACCCGAGTCCCAAATAATTCGGCGTCAGAACGAAAATCTGTCGCCAGAGAATGATCCCGATGCCGAATAGCAAACTCCAGCTCCAAAGGACCAAGTCCAGTGGGTAGGTGAAGAAAACGCATGAGCCGAATTGAACGATCACGACGTGGAACGTGAGACAGCCGAGCCAGAGCCAGAGGAACATGGATGTTGGGCCCAGGCCAGCGAATGGGTTCACGTGCTTTCCCAAACGGCGGCAGTTGATTTCGTTGAAGAGAATCATGAGCACGAATATGTTGAAGACCAGGGTGTGGTGTTCTGACGGGCCGTAACGAGCGTACGGAGCCTTCCAGTTCATATCTCTTCCGAGTTGAAAATGAATGAATAAATCATTTACAGTACTCATATTTGAGATTCCCGTTCGTCGAAACGATATCAAGGTCATGACAATCATTGAGTCCCGGCAGCCCAAAAATTATCCAGTACTTTCCTGTTATCTCAGTACCTACTTTCCTGTTATCTCTGTACCTTCCCTCTGACCAATTTAACCTGACATAACCTAACTTCACCTAACTGCCTCCCAAAATCAGTTTCTGCTTTCTTTGGGTTTCTGCTGAAACTGATTTTGGGAGGCGGTTAGGTAAAGTTAGTTTAGGTCAGGTTGTGTTAATTAAAAGATATATGTAACTAACATATCCTAACTTTACCTAACTGCCTCCCAAAATCGGTTTCAGCAGAATGCGGAAAAATAAAATTCATAGTTTCTGGTAGGTTGCTGTGATTATGAACTCATCCTAAAGATTTGTCTGGATGGTAGTGCAGTCTAGGAATGAGGTACAGAGATAACAGGAAAGTACCAAAAAAATTAGAATCATTTATTTCAGCCAGTGGATATTTGTCTGAAGCATTATCAGGAGAAAAGCCAACTTTCAAATTTCATCAGATAATTTCAAATGCCATTGTTTTTCTAAAATTTCAGATAGAGATAACAGACTTCATTGCTACTTTTTTCAATTTAATATGCTAAAAAAAATTTCCTGCTGACAGGCAAAAAAAAACCCTGCCAACCACTGGTTGGGGAAAACTGCTTCAGGACACTTCCCATCATTGTAGCAATTGAGAAGCACATTCAAGATCCAATAAACTCTGAGACACAACCCGATGTTTAGCCAATCCTAATCTGGATAAACGTGTCTTGTCTCCTCATAAATACAGCACTTCCCGTTCACCAAAAATTACATCTTCCAAAATAAAATGAAAATACATAACAGTCTGGTTTCGAAAGCGTCTTGTATAAATTTACTCCACAAGCATCCTCGCGGTTGTTTCCTTAAATGTTCACGCAGTCGTTTCATCAGTTCTCGTGAGGTGTTCAAAGAGGTCGAAATGAGGTCATTTGAATGCGGCAACTGATGGCGCAGAAACTTTAATCACAGGACCAGTGATGGAAAGTTCATGGCATCAGTGTTTCCTATATGGGGCTGAGTGATGATTCCTTTAGGCACGCCACACATAATATTGACTAGATTGCCATCACGAATATACACGATGAGGAAGTTGATTTCAATGTAAAGAGAACGAGACAGACGGGTTTCATCACGTTGATGAAAAGGAAATGAAAAATAATGTTCCACGCACACTTGGTTAACTTGTTCCTGTCAGTGTGTAGTCTTCTATGTGCATGAATGAATGCACAGAACACTTTATTTGCCACTTAAAAAGTGTTCACAAGGTTTGATCAAGATTTCCACAACCAAACCTCCTTCCCACCCAACCCAAATCCACTCAATGACATTTAATCACTTCAGAAAAGTGAACAGAGCACAAATTGCTAACAAAAATAAAAGAGAATACAATCCATGAAATACAACTGGACATCTGACATGTGTGCATACACCCATTCATTCCCTGACATTGAAAAAGAGGTATGTAAAGATTAATTTAAAGCACAAGGTCTTCAGCTTGTTTCTGTATGAGGTTTAGTTGAATGAACAAATTAGAGAGAATATTTGATGAGAATTTATTTGATTTTATGTGTAAGAAATTGATTTGTCTTTCTGGTGGTATTCAGAGATAAAACAGCAAAATTGCTCAGCTTACAGATTTTTTGATGGAGTGAATAGATCCATTCCTCCCCAAAGGATCTTTTTGGGAGATTATTTTTCGATTTACGAAAAGTTTCACGTCATCATAATTTTTCCTCGCGCGAGGTGAAGTGATTTTCATGGCGCGATTTTCTGGTCACTGATGGAGAAAAACAGGGCGAGATTAAAATCTGTTTTCTCTCTGATTTTACTGCTGATTTCATAAGAAATAAGGTTTTGAAATTGACCAAACGAAACGTTGCAGGCAGATGTACGACTTGACTTCGTCTTTTTTTGCTTTATTTGGAAAGAGAATTACCGTATTTACTGGAGTACCACACGCCCTTGAGTAAGGCGGGCACAGGGGTTTTTCAGTTGAAAATTTTGCAAAAATCTTATTCCCAAGTAAGACGCACACCCCAATTTTTAGTGAATCTAAAACCATAAAATTTCAAAAATAAACGCAAAAAAATTGACTTTAGGCATGAATTGAACAAAAATCTGATGAATTTTCAACTTTTTCAGCACAGAAATGTTTTCTTGTTATCTTTGTTCCAAATTTTTCCATTATAATTAAGTAAAATGCACACATAACTTCCTAAAACTTCTTGAAAATTTTGTACCTGCTTATGACGCGCACCCCTTTTTTTCTTCTGAAATTTGGGAAAAAATGTGCACGTGGTACTCAAGTAAATACGGTAATAAGTTGCAAAAATTGTATTATTGATGCATACGTTTTTGTGCATCTCATTTAAACTGCAAATATTCCACTGCTGAACTGGTTGCTTTGGTGATTTGAATGAAGAAAATTTGTTTTTGCCTTATTGTGATGCAAAGATCGCAAAACTTCCAGAGCCTGCGCACAAAAATGCACGAACACCACTTTATTCCATACACTAAAATTAATAATTTCTTCAAAACACCCTGTCTGATTTCCTATCTATGATTATATTGTAGAATAATTTCAAGGGGGTGGGGTGGTTGGAGCACAGCATGAACCCTGATGAAGAAGCTTACAAGGTTGTTCTTGGCCTTTTAACCCATTTGCAGAAGAGTTTAAATATTTTTGAAAAATCTTGTACCCATCAGAAGCACAAAAAGAAATTTACTGAGCAGCAAAGTCTATGTGAGGGAAAAGTCTGATTTTTTTCGTCGCAAAAAATGTTTGCTGGAAAAAGGAAAAAAATACCTCACTGAAGGCCATTTTTAAGCATTCCTTCAAGACTATTTTTTATTGCGAAATCCTAATGCTGCTGTTTGTCCTTGAAGGACAGTCTTCCTGATTCCTACTCTATCCAAAAAAAAAACTTCACTCTTCTCTGAGCTCTTGTGCGTAACACTCAAGCATTTTTTCAAATATTGTGTGTGTTGACTGTGTTCTTGAATTATACAACAACCTTAAAATAGGGTGACATTTCACCCCGGTCGTAGCCCAGCCAAATTCTTTGTGACATTCATTTCTAGAAACATATTCTATTCAAACTTTACTAAATCATTCCTAACACAAACAAGGGACAAAATAATCCTCAATACAAATGTATCCAAGTCCCTAGCATAGAAGGCCACACAAAAAAAATGCAAGAAAAAATGTAAAAAAAAGTAAGGGTTTTATCAGATCACAGCTCGGATCAAGTGCCCTCTGGAGATCTCAAATTCAGCTATGGACTTTAAAAAAAAATTCGACCCAGAGAAGCTATACTTGACTTTATGAAAGGCTCAACTGCAGTTCACGACCCAAATGACGTCCAAAACAATTCAAGCAAATGTATCAAAGTCCCTAGCATAGAATGCCACAAAAAGTTCAGAAAAAAAAATGTTCCAGAAAAATAACGGGTTCATCAGAGCACAGCTCCTATCAAGTGCCCTCTATATAGAGATCTCAAATTCAGCTATGGACTTTTTAAAAAAAATTCGACCCAGAGAAGCTACATTTGACTTTATGAAAGGCTCAACTGCATTTCACGACCCAAACGACGTCCAAAACAATCCATGTGAATGTATCAAAGTCCCTAGCATGGAATGCCTCACACAAAAAAATGCAGGAAAAAAAAAAACATGTTCCAGAAAAATAACGGGTTTATCAGAGCACAGCTCTGATCAAGTGCCCTCTGGAGATCTCGAATCGCGTGCAACAAGGATGATAGCCGGAAAACGGAAAACAAGCGGCCTTGCTTCACTTTCCTGCTCATCCATCAACGTTTCCAGGCTTGATCGATGAGTGATGCAGACGTTGTCTCAATCCGGATGATCAACACAATGTCATCATCATCATCATCATCATTATTATTACCACTGTTCAGTAGTAATAATTTGTGAAAAAAAAGGACCAAGGACGTGAATATATAAAGACAAACTGAGTCGAGAATCTACCCGCTCCATCAAATGTGTCGCGCGCCGTCGGGAAATTCTATTACTCAAAATGCCAGTTATTTTCTATTCACTAGGTAATTGGGCATGGCATTCAAATAAATTTCTGGCATCACCGAAAGTTCTTCATAAAAATGTCAGACCGCAGCTAATTTCCCTTCCATCAATACGATGTTTTTTTTTAAAGCGACATAATATTGACGGTTTAATTCCCAGGACTGAAGTCCATAAAAAAAAGTGAACGCCAGAAAAATTTTCCGAACTTCGTAAAAATGAATCACACTGCAATGAAGCAAAAGTTTTCCATCTGCTCTTCAGACTAATTATAGTTGAAGAATAAATTTGAATAATTAGAACTGATGTTCAGCGAATTTCTTCGTACTTTATCGCTCAATAAAAAAATAAACTCGTATTAGAAAGTCGAGAAGGTCAGATTTCCATTTAAGATTGTGTGCATTTCGCCAAAAAGCATTCAGAATATCTTCGAGACAATTCAGCAAGGATATATAATTGCATTATTTTCTTGTGGCTTTGACAATTAAAAATCACTAATTTCTTGCAACATTTTTCATTCTGAGAAACGCAATTTACGAGAAGTATTAATTTGGAGGGCTGAGGAGTACATGAGTCAATTTTCCCCAAAAATTTGAAGTTTTAATTTGAGAAAAAAACCTTAAAGAATGCTGATAAAAGTGAATGAAAAAATCCTATGGAAACTTGTTCTATGATTATATTCTTCAATCAGTCTGGTTATCAATCCAGTGAAACCAGTGTTAAACACTTTCCAAAGCAATGGAAATAACTTTAATTCGATTATTTCCACTTCGAATTTCAAAACCGCATCTTTAACCACCTTCAAAAAAATACCCATGCAGGTTTATATTTAAGCTTGCGGAATGAGGCAAGTAGGGTTTTCAATGCATAAAAATAAACTTGCATTTTTAACAATTTTCACGAAATTCGTGGACTTTCAAGAAAACATTTTAAAGCAACCACACAAAAAATGCAACAGAATTTTCTCGACGCATATGTTCCTGAATGAAGAAGGTGTTATTGTTGAGAAATGCCCCATTGCGGTTTCTATATAAGAGCCATAACCCAGTTGATGACGTTAATCAACACCATAACCAA